TCCTTGACGACGGTGATTGCGATTATTGCTTGGGAAAAAGTACGCTTTTAGATAGTTCACAAGCATGAAATGCTGTAAATAAGAGCAGTCGATGATGATGAGGAGGATGAGGGCGTTGTGGATCGTGAGAAATGGTCGTGGTGTCATTCTTGTGACTATTGTGATCTTTCTCAAGGACGGTGCTGTTGTCAGCTTTCCTCGGTGTCCTTCATAACGTCCTTGTACTCGCGGTTGTGCCTGCTATTGATACTGTTCCTTTGCATTTCTTGTCGTTAACATTGTTGATCTTCCCATTATTGGGCATGGGGCAGTTGTTGCTGTGCATAGCCTTTACACTTCCCACATGCTAGTTGTGAAGACGAGGTCTGTAAACCCCCTAAACCCCCTAAAACCCGCTAAAAACTCCTATAAACTCTAAACCCCCAAACCCTAGCCCTAAACTCCTAAGCTTCCGTTTGAAAGCTTTCAAAAAAACCCTAAACTTCCAAGAGGATGCTAGTTGAAAAGACGAGGTTGAACAGGTCCCCGAGGGCAGCTCCTTCCAAGTTGGGCAGAAGGCGAGGGAAGCTCTACTTGGAGGTTCATGGGTAGTTGAAAGTAGGGTTACAAAGGATTTTAAGGGATTTAGGGGGCCTTTAGGGGTTCTATAGGGTTTAGGGTTTAGGGTCTAGGGTAGTTATAGGGAGGGTGATAAGTAGGGAAACTATGCTTGTAACCCCATACAAGTGGATTCAAAACCCCTGAACCTCCAAGTAGGATGCCGGCAGCGTGGATTAGGCCAACGAAGTTGTGTATCTCTCCATACATCATACATATATATATATATATGTATATGTGTGTGTACACACATACATATACGTACATATATTGTATATGCATGCATAGACATACTTCTCTGCAAGTTTCTGTTCCTAGTACATTGCTTTCCAATGCTTTCATATGGGGACTTGGGGCGGCTTGCGTTTGCAGATCTGGGGGCTTTCACGGGTGCTTTCAGGGATCCTGTAAGGGATCCTTTAAAACTTTAAGGGATCCTGTAAGGGTTCCTTGAAGGGATCCTTTTAGGGACTCTGCTGCTGAAGTCTTGCGGGTTTCAGTTTCAAGGCTGCTGCCTGCGCCGTCCTGAGGCTCTGACTCTGAGAGTAGACCGCCAGCTATGGAACCCTGATTGAACCCGCAGTACCTCCTGTGAAGCACTCTCAGACCCGTAACTTCAGCGCCAGACTTCACCGTCCATAGCTTCGTGTCCACATGCTACAGAAGCTCAGCCTTAATTGCCTCAAGGCAAACTCCTTCGGAGCATGCATGACCCGTGGTTTTAGCTGACTTCGGGTAGTGGGCTTCCCGAAGACAAGGCAAAGGGAGGAGTTCTAGCTCCTATTGGGGTGAAACTGAGACGGACAGGCCAGGACTGTCTGGGATCCATTCCCCCATTCCCTAAACCCTAAACCCTCTAGATCCATTGAAGGATCCCTTAAAGAGACCCCAAATCCTCAAAGGGATCCATTCCCCCATTCCCTGGTAACAACCAGACAGATGATGACAGCCTGGCAATCTGCGAGATTTGGAGCATGTCTAACACGACCTATGGCCGCAGTAATACTTTCAGCAACGTGCACACATGCGAAGACGATGCATAAATCAACACAAAAGTTGAATAAACAAATAAACAAACACATAGATAAGTGTATGTGTATGTATATGCACACGCACGTATATACGTTCATATACATACATAATCATAGGTGCTTATGTATTTTTATGTATGGAGATATAGACAACTTCGTTAACCTACTACAATACACAGAAGCCCATGTAGATGATAGCTTTCCAAGCCCAGCCGGGAGCCGATAGCACCCAAGCGCAACCGAGCTCATGAGCCGTACAGATTTCCGAACTCGTGGACCTCAGTTTTGGAGGTTCAAGGGTAGTCATAAGTGGGGTTTTAAGTGTCTAATATGGGATATAATACAAGCTTAGTTACCCTACTTATAACCCTACTTATCACTACCCCTGAACCTCCAAGCAGTGTGGGACCTACCCTAAACCCTAAACCCCTACACCCGAAACCCTACACCCGTAAAATCTAAACCCTAAAGAAGCTCCAGGTGGAGGGCTTGGGGTGCCGGCTTCAAGCAGGGTCTCTCAACTCGCCCAAACAAGCTCACTTTGTGCGAGTTCTTTTTGCGTGTCTCCAGTTCACAGCCCTGAAACAAAAATCCGCAAGTTGTGAAGTTATTCTTAAATTCAACAGATGACATGGGCATCAGCAACTACGTGACGGCCAAGCCTTGAAAGAGCAAAGCCCTAATAAGCCGATGCCCCCAAGAAAACTTATCTTAACTTGGAGGTTCAGGGGTAGTTATTAGTAGGGTTATAAGTCAGGTAGCTTTACTTATAACCCATATGAGGGGACTTATAACCCCACTTATAACTACCCCTTAACCTCCAAGAAGACCTGTCCCGGACAGGTCTGGTTCATGGCCTTCAAGACTTGTGCAGAAGCTCCGATGTAAAGTTCTCACCCGAGTCGGGCTATTGACTTTGAGGGACTTAGCCGGCGGCACGGCTTTTGCATGCGATGGGCTCGGGTTCTCTTTGGCATGGCTTCGGGTTTCAAGTTGGGGCTTTCAAAGACTTACAAATTCGGCTCAAGATCGGGTTGTCAGGCCTGGAAAGCAGGCTGCGATTGCGCCCCCCCAAAACAGGACCAGATTGTGCGACGCATCGAAGAAAGCTGGTGCAATCTCGTCGATCCCATAGTTTGTTGGCTAGATTTTTGGGGTAGTCATTTCCCCTATGGTAGTCCTTTGTCTGTCGCCATGCCTTTATGCTGTGTATGATAAGTCTGTACTCCAACGATTCACGCGCTTGTATGCAGCCCAACACAACTGCCAAATATCAAGAGACATAAACCCTTTACCCGAACACTCTCCAACTCAAACCCCCGAACCCCTAAAACCGTATGCCCTTGACCCTAGACCACTGAACCCCTAAACCCCTAAACCCGTAAACCCCTGATGCCTTCAACCCCTAAACCCCGAATCATCCCCTAATCCCCTGAAGGCCAAGACCCCTAAGCCCCTAAACCCCTAAACCTTAAACTCTAAACTTCGAAGTCTAAAGCCTCGAGGAGCTGGCCGAGGTGAAGGAGGGCTTCATGGCATTGGCTCCCGAGCAGATGTCCATGGAGGACTCCGAGTTTCTATGTGTTCAGGTGCTGAGGTTTATGCGAGGGTTTAGGGGCTTTAGGGGCTTGAGGGGCTTTAGGGGCTTTAGGGGCTTTAGGGTTTAGGGTTTATGGTGTTTCAGGTGCTGAGGCACGTCACATGTGCTTTATCGGCACCTTTTTAGGAGTTTCGCAAGGGCGTTTTTTCCAGGGTCTATACTGGGATTGAGGGTTTGTTCGTGGTCCTAGCTTAGCTTGAGTTTGAGAGTTCATTTCATTGGGTCTCGGGGCTTTAGGGCTTCGGAGCAAATAACGGTACGACACTGCAGGGACTTTTTGAGCCCTTCCCAATTCCATTGGGTTTTAGGGCAATTTAGGGGGTCTAGTCCATGAGTTCTATGCGGGTAAGACCAGAAAGTTAGCTCGGGTCCATGGGGTTCCACCAAGGGAAGTTCGGGTTTCATTTCTCAGGATTTGGGGTTCATGCCTCGGGTGTAGGTCCGGGAAGAAGCAGTATCTTTGCCGACGATCGGCCTGTTCGTGTCGAGCTTCGATCTTCAGCCGGGCAGATAAATCCTGTGAGCTGGGGGGGTGTCCTGAGCCGAAACCCTGGCAACGGGCTTTTTACGGATTGAGCGCGGCTGCGCTTTGAGTCCCCGATACGCCCTAAACCCTAAACCCTAAACCCTAAACCCTAAACCCCGGTGCTTCGAGATCTTTGGTTCCGGTGCTGAGGAGTCCGGCAGCACACCCTTGGCGCTTCTGACGGCTTATCAAAGCATGCCCCTCGGAGATTTCAAGGATGAAAGGGGTTCCTGCTAGCCCCGCAGTGTGTGTAAGTTTACGATCCCGCAGACCTACAAGGGCCGGCATGAGGTTTGTTGACGCGACGATCAAGAATCAATTCGCACTCAAAGTCCACAGTTTTGTTTTAAATTGCTGATACAACTAGTTCAGGTCCATTTTCTTATTTCTTCCAGTGTGAGCAATGATGGGCTTCTCGCTGCTGCGTGAGCAGCTAGTGTTTGTTGTTTCTTTACTGACTGCGGGTACTTGCTTGCTATTCGTGCTACAGATGTATGTGGACCAGTGCCTAGAGTCTCTCTGTTGCTGTTGATGGTGATGGTTCTGATCGCGGCTCGGTCCCCAGTGTCTGCGAGTAGTTGTGGCGTTGTTGAGTTGTTGCAGATGCAACGTTGCTGCCGGTGGTTGTAACTCTGATCGAGGAGTGGTCATGGTGCTATTGTGGTTCTTCGTGCTTTTGGTACTCGTATCTTTGATCCAATGACAGTCGGAATCGTAGTCAGTGTCACTGCTGGTAGTGATAATGGTTGCGCGGTGCCGGTGTAAGGTAGTAGTCGTAGTGGCACCTATGGTGGAGGGGGCGTTATCTCATCATGTCTGTCGGTCTCACCTCCATCATCAACATCTCTTGCGTCATCGCCATCATCGTCATCATCACCACCATCATCATCAGCAGCGTCGCCATCAGCCCATTGACCTCCCCGTCACCATCGCGATCACCGTCGTCGTCGTCGTCATCGTCATCATCAACATCATATTCATCAATCTGAACGTCAACATGGTGGTTTTCTTTGTGGCAAACATCTTGTCACGGTTTACACGGTCAGGGCTAGTTTTGTTGTCTTTCTGTTGCTCTTGCGGTTGCAGCACTAGCAGAGGCATCTTCGACGTTCGTGCCATTGCAGGTAGTGGAACTGCAGTTGCTTCTTCCGTTACATGTGCTGTAGGTGCTTTTGAGCATTCCCTAAACCCTACACTACCCCACCAGATCTTGGGATCCGGCCAGTTGCGGTGGCTGCAAAGAGCAATGCTGAGGAAGGACGCCGGCTACTCCGAGCCGGGCTGCGGCCGAGGGCAAAGAATCCTCGTGCACGCGGGTGCCGGCGGCTACTTGGAGAGGCTTTAGAATCCAGGGTAACGGGTTTGAGGTTTAGGGTTTTGAGTCGATGGATGGCTTTGAGGGTGCAGCGTTGAGGGGGATTTGGATGAGTTGGACGTCCTTTGCAGGGTGTAATGAGAGCAGTTCATGGGTGTGGAACTCGTCGGACAGGGCTAGTGGTTGGATTCCTGGATGTGGTATCTTGTCCTGATCTCAACAGTTGTCGCACACGCTGAATTCGCTTAGTACGGGGCTTGCCGTCATTCTGCAAAGCTTTTGGCCTTGTCTTTGAGTCCTTACTTGGAGGTTCAGTGGTAGTCATAAGTGGGGTTATAAGTCCCCTAATACGGTTTATAAGTATAGTTACCCGACTTATAACCCTACTTATACCTACCATGAACCTCAAAGTATCGACAATCCTGACTGGGTTCCCAGAGACTCCAATATCCCTTAGTTAGGGAATATACTTTAAATCATATTAGGGATCCTACTTTAACTTAAGGAAGACTCCGTAATTAAGGGATATCGGAGTCTCTGGGTTTACAAGCTCCGAGCCTTCAGCACTACCATGTTCTGTCAACGTCTGCGCATCACACCTGACCTCGCAACTCCCTTCACAGCCATGTGGTCGTTCCTTATTTTGGGGTTCTTGTAATAAGGAACCTACTATTGAGGGTTATATTTTTGGGTATCCATTTTCGGAACTCCCACATGCTTCTAGAACCCTGGTAGATCCCGTAAAGGAACCCTTATGGTACCCTTCAAAGGATCCCTACTTCGGAAACTCCCATGTTCATCCTTCAGGACAGGTTGGAGAGTTTTGGGTTTAGGTTTTAGGGTCGAGGGGACGATTTGAACACGAGGTGTGGGCCACTTTGCAGTCCAGCTGGCGAAGATCTACGGCTTTGAGGAGGGATGTATACTACTTTGGGGGTTCCTTACTATGCTTCTAGGATAACGGGCCCCAAAATTGAGTTTACTGCTTCTGGTTTTGGAGTTGTCGAGCCTTGGGCAGCCTTCGAAGCTCAGAGTTTCGGAACCGGAACTCGTGTTTCGGATGTAGGATTCTGCCATGGTGGCGATGATGACGATGATGATGATGAGCTGAAACAGCGGCGACGTATGCCTCTGGTCCCGGCGACGAAAACAACCCACCATGGGTATATGTTTCTTCGCTGTTGCCACTGGTTTCACCACTACGCCTCTCGGCATCTTTGCTGTTACTGCTATAGAGTCACGCCTCGCTGTGCCATACACCCTGAGTCCTTTACCCGAAGACTTGTATCCTGGCAGGAGATCGTGACGACCTGCTCTGCTGCGAACGAGGAGCATACGTTGTACATACCGAGGTTGCAGTGAGTCTACTGATTATGACCAGCACTGACGTATTTCCTGTGTGAGTCTCCCCTTTGACTATGGAAGCCCGGCATTCTCCCCTAAACCCCTAAACCCCTAAACCCTAAACCCTAAACCCTAAACCCTAAACTTCTCGGGCTTGACAAACAGCAAACCTGCACCAGGAGTCACCAGGGAAAGCCCGGAAAGCCTGCGCCGGAGGAATTCGTGAAGGGCCTGGGGGCCACTGCCATCGTCGACTACAAGACCGAAGACTTCGTCACGAAGCCTCCTGGCCAAAGGAGCCGCAGCGTCCCCAGAGACTCCAGTATCCCTTAATTGAGGAAGATTCCGCAAAAAATTATAGTAGGATCCCTAATAGGATTTAAAGTATACTCCCTTATTAAGGGATATTGGAGTCTCTGAGTCCTCCTCGGGAGTGTTGCCGTCAGTCATCCGTGAAATGGGTCTTTCCTGCGTGAGCGTTCTTTCCTGTGTGAGCGCATTTCCGCCAGCCTCCAAAAAGTAAACCACCGTCAGGAACTACCCCAAGATCTTATTCGTATTATGATTATTGTTACTACCATTGTAACATGTTCGTATATTCGTAGTAAGGCCCTGCATTGCTCGCCCGTGAACTGTCGAACCAGCCTCCCAAGCCATGAACCCTCCGTCATTCTGCAAGCAAGCAAGCTGGTCAGAATGATCTTAAAGCCAACGGTATATTGTGTTATAGTATATTATAGTATAGTATAATATATCATAGTATAGTATTTTATATTATAGCAAAGTATAACTTCAAAACATGGACATCAGCAACAGGCTCGCCCTTCCCTTAAGAGTACATTCTGAATCTGCATTTCGATGGTGGAGCGGTGAGCCCTTTCGGGAAGTCCTTGGGAAGCCGCAGTCAGGGTGCCCCAAGATTCGATCGAGATCCCCCAAGCCTTCCTAGAACCTACCCCGCGCAAGAAAGGTAAGATAGGGGCCTTAATAGTTAGAACAGGGTTTTGGGGTGTAGTATGCTTGAGTTATTCTACGGAACCCCCAAAATGGTATAGAAAGGTATGCCAACAACAAGTTCGATCTGGTGGTAGATCCGGTGGGTGGCGAACCCGTCGGCTGCTGCTGCGCCGCCCAGCCCCTGGGATCGAGAAGAGGTGTTTGCCACTGAAAACGAGCACATAAGTGCCCAGAGACCCCAATATCCCTTCATAAAGGACTATACCCTTAAGCTATAGTAGGATCCCTAATATGATTTGAGGTATATTCCTTAATCAAGGGATATTGGAGTCTCTGAGTGTAAGGATCCTGGTCCTACAACTGTTGGGGTAGAAGGAAGCATCATTTCTGGCATCCCCCTTGATGGTTTGCAGGGCAGCCTAACTGTGTCCGTTGCAGCATCCGAAGCTCGGTGCCACCCGTGCACGGAAGCAGGCGACACGGGCACAGTAATTTTCCAGATAGGTACCCGTCTTTACCCCGAAGGTATACAGATCCTTGTGTTCATGATCTCACATAGCAAGTCTGCTGCACGTTATGTGTTTGGGTACTTCAGTACTACATGTACAAGCCATGTTACCGTGAGTAAAGCGCTGTGTTGTATACTTCGGCATTGCTTCTTGTTCCGAAGCCTTAAACCCTAAATCCTAAACCCCAAGCCCTAAACCCTAAGCCCCAAAGCCCAAGCCCTAAACCCTAAACCCTAAACCCTAAACCCTAAACCCCAAGCCCTAAACCCTAAACCCTAAACCCCAAGCCCTAAACCCTAAACCCCAAAGCCCAAGCCCTGAACCCTAAACCCTAAACCCTAAACCCCAAGCCCTAAACCCAAACCCCTAAACTCCGAATCCGAGGAATGCCCTGGCCCAGTATACGCCGCGAAGCCGGATGGTCACCAAGACTGGCGGCACGGTCGCTCGGGTTGAACCCTGGTGGGAGTTTCCGAACATAGGGGACCCTTCTGAAGCACCCTAAATAGTAGGATCCTTATTATAAGGACCCCAAAATAAGGTACCCTTAATTTTCGGAAACTCCCTGGTATCGTTTGTCAGAACCCTGAAGGGAGCCGTAGAAAGGAACTCACGTGACTGCAAAGTACACCGACTGTAAGCCTGGTTCAGCATAGCATGTTGTAATTGCTTCCCGGAAGCTGCGATGCTGAATTTGACAAAGGTGGTGGGAATCATCACGGGCACCACGCTGCAGGGAGCCCCCTGCGGCGCCTGGGTCGATGGTCGGGTGTGGGCTTCGTACTTATACGGAGAGGCCGTCGCAGAAACAGGGCACTCTTGAATTTGACTGGGAGATTCGGAGAGTGGCGTCCCAGATGTCATGACGCTGCGATGGCGATGAAGCAACAGATCATTGTGACCCTACACCCTGAACCCCAAACCCAAACCCTAAACCCTGATGATAATGATGATGACGGTGATGGCCATGGATGATGGTATGTTTAGTGGTAAGCTATGATAAAATGATAAAATGATGACCTGTGTACTACGATGAGGAGCGACTCCTGTCATGGCACTGATGTCCACTCCTTCTGCTCCCTCTTCTTCCTGAGCTGCCGTCGTTATGAACATCGGAAGTAGCTTGCTGGACTTGAACATTGACAGTGCAAGCTTTCCTTCACACCATGTCCGGGCCTTGGCATTCAGGGCTTTACGGTTTTTTCTGCGTTTGCAGCTGCTGAATTCGATGGTCTTGAAGCCTCCGAGCTCCCCGAAACCCTGAGACCCGGAACCCCGAAGATCCCTGTAATGCCTTATGCTGAATCCTGAACCCCAACACTCAACCCCAGGTCCTAAGCCTTAACCTGAAACCTTTTAAGCCCTGAGCCCTAACCTTAGACCCTAAGTCCTAAACCCCTAAGCCCTAAACCCCTAAACCCTAAATAGAACCCCAAACCCCTAAACCCTAAACCCTTAAACCCTAGCCCCCACTTGAGGCTTCGTGGGAGCGGTTTGCTGCTCTTGCCTCCCAGCCTTGATCCTCGCCCCGCGATTGTTGGTGTGGCGATAAAATGTGGAGTTTGTAGGATCGAGAGGTTGAGGGTTTAGAGTTTAGGGTCTAGCGGTTTAGGGTTGAGGGTTTAGAGTTTAGGGTTTAGGGTTTAGAGTTTTAGAGTCATTTTGGGGTTCGGTTTATGATTTATCTAAGGGGTTTGTAGAGCAGGGGCGCGGTCTTTCAGGGTTCGGACAGGGCGTTGCCGTCAGACTCTTGTAAGTGTTGGTCTTGCAGCCAAGGTTCAGTTCTGGGTGCTTTGTTTCGGCTGTTGGTCATGTTGATGGTTTACCTGGACGATCCTTCGCGTGGGTCTAAGTCCAGGTATTAACACTGGTATCTTAATTCGTACATGCACCGGTACCAGCATTTGCTCTCGTGTGACACTGACCTACCACTATCCAGTTACTTTGAGGTCTGCACATGTGAAGCCCGGATTGTGCCCAATGCAAGCCTTCTACTGCTTGGAGGTTCATGGGTAGTTATAAGTAGGGACCCGACTCATGACCCTACTTATAACTATCCATGAACCCCCCAGTGACCACGTGGGACTCCTCTTCATAGAAACCACTCGGGCCTGAAACCCAGAGCCCCACCGCCAAACTCCACAGTCCAAAACCCAAAGCCCAAAACCCATCTCCCAAAACCCAAAGCTCGAAACCCAAAGGCTCAAAACCCAAAGCCCAAAACCCACAAAAGACCGCTGAGGTGCGGGTACAAGTGCATGAGTGCTTGTGGCCTTGGGCCGAAGCGCGCTCGGCCTGCCTTCTTAGGATTCAGTGGTTTTAGGAGTTTTAGGGGTTATGGGTTTAGGGATCAGGGTTTTAGGGTTATGGGTTTAGGGTTTAGGGTTTAGGGAGTAGGGTTTAAGGTTTAGAGATTAGGGTTTTAGGGGTTATGGGTGGTCTTAGACTTTCGAGTTTAGGCTGTGGGTTTTGGTAGGGTTTCAGGACTTCACCGTCGGTTTTCGAAGTTTCGGACGGCTTCATGAGGTTTACCCGGTTTCAAGTCAACTCATTTGTCTACAGATAGTACTAGGCGTTCGTTGATCAAACTTAGGGTCGCCGGGCGCAACGCTTAGCCAAATCCTGGTTCCTTATCCCGAACCACAGGCATAGCATATGGCCCGACACGGTTGAACTCGTACTCCTTGTCTGAACCAGCAGCACCAGGACTGCTAGTCTTTGATGGGGTACCGTGTTTGGGGTCCTTATAATAAGGATCCTTGGGTGCCTCACAGGAGTTCTGGCCGACTAAAACCCATGCATGACACCTGTCCCAGACCTCGACTGAGAAACCCTGAACCCATAAACCCTTAAAGCCCGAACCCTTAAACCCGAAGCCCTAAACCCCTAAACCCCAAAACCCCTAGACCCTACTTGAGGCTTCGTGGGAGCGTTTTGCTGCTCTTGCTCAGAACCCTTAAGCCCGAAACCCTACACCCCTAAACCCCAGAATCCTTAACCCCGAAACCCTAAACCCCTAAACCCCTGAACCCTTAAACCCGAAGCCCAGAACCCCTAAAGCCCAGAACCCCTAAACCCGAAACCCTAAACCCTAAACCTCCGAAGCCCTAAACACTGAACCCCGAACCTCTAAACCCCAGAACCCTTAAACCCGAAACCCCAAACCCCTAAACCCCAGAAACCCTAAACCCGGAACCCTACTTGAAGGTTCATGAGTAGTTATCAGTAGGGTTATCAGTAGGGTAACTATACTTACAACCCATATTAGGGGTCATAACCCTACTTATAACTATCCCTGGACCTCCAAGTATTCCTTTCAAGGAGCTCCTCATGTCCTAAACCCTATAGAACCCTTAAAGGAACCCTAAGCCCCTGTATACCCCCTACTTATAACTACCCCTGAACCTCCAAGTAATATAACTATCCTAAACCCTGAAACCCTAAACCTAACCCTTATGGATCCCTTTCAAGGAGCTCCTATAGCACTGTTGATGGCATAAATCCTGCATTACCCATGAAGAGGAATATACCATAATTCCCATAGTTTAGGGTCCTTAAGGTATTGCAGGATTTATATGGGAGTTTCCGAAAATAGGGGACCCTAATATAGTACCCTAAATAGTAGGATCCTTATTATAAGGACCCTGAAATAAGGTACTCCGAATTTTCGGAAACTCCCATATCATCAACCGTAGTGCCTCTCAGCCCGCAGGTTCGTTGGCCCCTTCTTCCTGCGCGCCAACGAGGCGAACGTCGACCTCACGAGGCGGAAGCTCCGGTGTCCCGAGCCTTCTTAGGGGTCTAGGGTTTAGGGCTTTTAGGGTTTAGGGGTTTAGGGTTTAGGGGTTTTAGGGTTTGGGGTTTAGGGTTTAGGGGTTTATGGTTGAGGGTTTTGAGGGTTTAGGGTTTTTTAGGGTTTAGGGTTTTGAGGGTTTAGGGTTTTTTAGGGTTTAGGGTTTTGAGGGTTTAGAGGCGAACGAAAGCGCGGAACTCTGACTTTGGGTGTTGGTTGAACTGTCGTGTTTGCAGGTGTACGCTCGCGAGTATGTATGCATGTAAGTTAGTAGGTGTCTGTGTGCATATTGTGTGTATATGCACACACACACACGCACCTCTGTGTGTCATTTATGTATGTACTTGGCTGCTTTACAGGTGCATGTGTTTGCACAGGTTGATATGTGAGCATGCTTCCTTGAGCTACGAATCAATCCAACGCTGTACATCGAGACGTATGCACACACACACAAACACGCATCCGCGTGCGAGCTTCGTTTGTATGTCAGGTCATGCAGCGAAAATGCACTGACATACGTATTTTCGGGTTTGTGTGTATGCTTGGACTGCATATTATGCTATATTGATTGTTATGCAGTATGATGTTCAGAGCAGTGTATACCATGATACCTTGCGACGTATTGCAATCCGTTGCTCACGTTGCGCGATGAAGCTGCCGTTCCCAGTTCGGCTTCACCTGCCTACAGCAGTTTCGAGAGATATGTTCAATGTCAACGTCTAACCGCACAAGACATTTCTACACTCATAGTCAGCACGATCACGACCAGGAAGCTTGGAACGCTGGACCCTGCAAGCCCAACACCGAGCCCCACAGCAGCTGAAACCTCCAGTTTCAATTCCTAAAGAACTGTCTGGTTCTTAGTAGGGAATGGGGGTATGGATCCCTATGATAGTCCCTTAAGGTCCCCAACCGATTCCCCCATTCCTTACGAAGAACCAGACAGAGAACCCAGTTCGGAGGCTCCGCGAGTGGGTGGATCAGAAGCAGCTTCGAACGGAGGTTGCCGAAGTCTTCCGCACCTTGTTTCGGCAAGGAGTGGTTCTTGTTGGGTGTCTTTTGAAGTGCCCATGAAAACTGGTCATGACTCGGGACGACAGTATGCATCGTGGAGGGAGCTGTGAAGATCTGTGGCGTGTCCCGGTGTTTCACTCGCCTACTCGTCAGGGATTCCGCAGTTGGAAACAGGCGTTCAAAAAATAAACCATGAACTCCCCCAAGAGAAACCGGCAGGGGTGCAAGGGGGAGCCCGGAAAAGGGAGGAGAGCTTTCTGAAGCTCAAGGCTGCAGAACCCCTGAAGACTCGAAACTCTTGAGATTTGCGGGCGAATGCCCTGATGAGCCATACTTAAGACCCGGCCCAAAACCCCATAAACCCCTGAAGCCCTAAATCCTAAACCTCCTAAAACCCCTCAACCCAAAACCCCAAAAACCTATCGTTCTAGACCTAAGAGAAGCCCCCAAAAGCCGCTGGGTTCCCCCAGGCTTCGAGGACGCCCCGAAGGCCCTGGAGACCCTGGAGGAGGGCGGCGGGCACAACACCAAGAAGTCGACGCCCGTCGGAGAGACCTCCTAGGCTCCTGAGGTAAACCCTAGAAGTCTGGGGTTCAGGGTACTTGGGGAGGTTCATGTTATAAGTAGGGTTGTAAGTAGGGTATGTACACTGATAAGCCATATTAGGGGACTTATAACCGTTATTATGGCCCTACTTAAAACTAGTCATGAACCTCCAAGTAGGCACCCTAAACCCTGAAGCTTAAAGGTTGAGGCCTTCTAGCCGCCAGGAAGGTAGACGTTCTGCCGGCCGCCAGCTCGTAGCAGGGATTTTCTGTCTTGAGAAGATCTGATTTGAGGCTTTAGGTCCGTTTGTCACCGGCATAAGAAATGCAAATATACCCCCCTTGTGTTCACGATTTCGAGTTTCCGCACTCAGATTTCGGGCCATGTGCCGCCGAGGAAGAGCAAACCCTTCCGGGGAAAGGTCGTCGTCAAGGTGTCCTCTTGAGAGCCCCCACGCTGGTGAGCAGTCTCTGTGGCAAAATGGGACCTTCTGAGTTTAAGGGATCCTGACCCCATCAGCCCTAAATCCTTCCCGAAGCCAGGCATGACGCCGCGTTTGACAAGAAAAGACAGCAAGCAGTTAAGCACTATCAAAGCATCAAGTGTACTGACCAAGACCTGTCATGCATGTCCCTGAGAGCCGTGTAGACTCTGGGAGACCTGCGGAAAGCTAGTGAACGAATCTTCAGAAGGTCCTCGAAGTGTTCGCGAGCTGTGTTCGAAGAATCGCCGCCACCCTTGGCATTGTGTTCGGGGATAGCTTTGGCAGTTCGAAGACAACTTCAACAATCCGAATGCCCGAAACCTGAAAGCCTCAGAGTTGAAACACACCAAATCTAAGCCCTGCACTCCAAAGACTAGGCCATCAGCCCAACTTCTCAAAGATCACAAGGCCAGTTCTTTAAACCCCAAACCCCCAAAGCCGCCAGCAAATTTGAGTCCTTCGGGTGTCTCGGAGTTCATCAACTGATGCGAGTAGGGTTGTCGTCGTCTAGGGTTCCTGGAGTTTCAAGGGTTTCGGGGTTCAGGGATTTGGGCTTTAGGGTGTGGACGCCGTGCACGCCCTTGCAGCACAATACTTCCCCCCAAAGCCTCAGAAACCCTATCAGCTGCCCATAAACTCCACATAATCTAGGGGCTTAAATAGTTACCACTGCTATTTGGGCGGTTCCCCAAATAAATATAGTAGAATGGGTCCCAAAACCCTATTCGAATTGTCCATGCCCCTATATCATAGACCCCTACTAGAGTAACCCTCACAGGCCCCTTAAAAGGAACACTATTCTAATGCTTAAGGCCCCTACTTGGAGGTTCATGGGTGGTTATAAGTAGGGTTATAAGAGGGATAACTATACTTGTAATCCATATAAGGGGACTTATAACCCCACTTATAGCTGCCCATGAACCTCCAAGTAGATTTCCTCCCAAAGCCTCGAGAAAGAGCCGAGCCAAGCTTGGCAGCGACCGAGAATTCACAGAGGCCGAAGTTTGCCTCTCTGCCCGGCTTACGTTTGGTTAGGTTTGGGACTGAAAGGGGCCTTATAAAGGGGTCTATAAGGGTTCGTATAAGGGATCTATAATACAGGGGCTTTAATAATCCTATATTTTACCTTTGGTTAGTAGGGGATGGGAGAATGGTAGTAATATTACTTATACTTGTACCCCATTCTTCCATTCCCTTCTACCCAAAGGTAAGCCGGAAGCCGAAGGAAGGAACTGCAGGGTTCCACGGGGCCTTTTTAAGGGGCTAGGGGGAATCGAATCTAGCCCCAAACCCGTAAAACCCTTTAGAATGGGGTGTTGGGGGGCCATTATACTTCATTATGAATAAGGAACCCTCCAAGACAGTCTAGCTAACTTTCAAGACCGAGATATTTTCAAGACCCCTCTATGAAAAACCTCTTCCCTGCAAGTTACCAGGCACAGAGGAGCACTTCCGTACCTGCGACTGTGTCGTCGGGTGCAAAACGGCATGCAGGGATGGAAGACTTCAAGCAGGCATGTGATAGATGTGCGGGGGTTCTGTTTTTGTTGTGGGTTGCGGACATTTTTCTTTCAGGGTGTCTTGAAAGGTCCGAGGCAGCGTCTTTAGGCGCCTAAGACTTTGTACTGTGTTCAACTTAAGCTTAAACCTCTCAGGGGGTTGAGGATTCTCTGGCTTCCTGGACTTTGGAGCTCCTCTTGCTCTAGGCCGTTGCCAGGGCCTACACCTCAGGCTCCAAGCCCCAATAAGACACGCCCGAGACTTACTAGACCCTAAACCCTAACTCTATACCGCTATACCCTAAGCCCCTAGATCCCAAAACACCCTAAACCCTAAACCCTACAAAAAGGCCCGAGACCCACAGCCAACTTGCCGCAGCTCTTTGCGGTGTGCCGCTCGAGCCTTTCTCCGTAGACATTGTAGCAATGGCTTGGCTTCAGCTTTTCGCCCTGCTTGCAGGCATGGCTTTCGGGGTTTAGGGCTTAGATGGCTTACGTTTTCAGGATACGTGGATTAGGGTGGAGTGATTGGGGTTGAGGTTCTTTTTAGCTTTGGAGTTTGGGTGGGGTCTACATGGGTCTACTGTGGGTTTTAGGGTCTTCGGATCGAAGATGGGTTCATGCTCACGCCTTCCACAAAGCGACGCCTCCAGGGGCGATCTGACATTCACTGAATCAGAGTAGGAATCCTTGACAACTGGACCCTTGTGTCGCAGGTCCCAAAATCCCCACCCCTAAACCCCGTAATCCTGAACCCTAAACCCTGCAAACCCTGAGCTGCCGCAGCCTCCCAGTCTATGCCAGGCGCAAGCAGCTTCAAGCTTTACACCAACCACAGCGCCGGTGATTCTCAGGCACGCAGATCCTCCAATATCCCTTAATTACGGAATATTCCTTAAAAAGTAGTAGGATCCCTAATATGATTTAAGGGGTATTGGAGTCTCTGGGGTTTTCCGAGGGTTTCGTAGAAGGCTCCTGAGGATTCGATGTACTTTTCTGATAGACCCAGAGACTCCAATATCCCTTAATCTGAAATCATATTAGGGATCCTACTACAAATTAAGGTATATTCCTTAAAGGAGGGACATTGGAGCTTCTGGGGAGCTGTCAGTCAGAGGGCCTCTGCAAGTCGGGGCAATGCATCTTTGATCCCCGGACGTCTCACCCGTCGTTCGGCCACAGTCCAGGAATCCCGACCCGAAACCCTAAACCCTAAACCCTAAAACCCTAAAACCCTAAACCCTAAACCCTAAACCCTAAACCCTGTTTGGGCTTCGAGTTCTGTTTTCCTGGCATAAGCAAGGCTGCGCATCCAAGAAGCCAAAAGCACTCGGATCCCGGACCTCCCGAGCCTGAGCTCTCTTCTCCAAGAGGCACTAAATGCCCACAAAGGCCGTAGCCCTAAACCCTAAACCCTAAACCCTAAACCCTAGACCCTATGTAGGTTTAGGGTTGAGGACATGCCCTTCGACCCCTAAGTTCCATCTGCCGAACTCCGAACGAGCCGTCTTGCGAGGAGTCTGCTGGCACCTGGAAGTTAGTGCTCAAGGTGGGATCTCACGGCCTGTCTCTCTCTTTTTTGGTGTTTGAGGGTTGAGGTTCGGGGTTCTCAAGGTTTCAATACAGGTTCTAGCAAAGTTGTATCAGGGTTGCTGGAACGCTTACTGTTGGGGCCTTCCTTTCGGCTGTGTCATCGTCCCATTGTTTGCTTCGGAAGTCACCGCTTCCTTGAGGTATTTTGCAAAGTGCCGCAAATGCTCCACGCCCAAAAAACCTTACGTCATCCAAACCGAATCTAAAACGAAGCGCTATGAGCCCCGAAACCCGAAAACCGCGAAGCCCCAAACCCCTAAACCATGAACCCGAAACCCTGAACCCCCTCAATGTTGAAGAGAAGGCTACCAGGTTACCGGCCCAGAGACCCCAGCCGTTTTCACGATTTGGGAGTTTCCGAGAATTGGGAGGTACCTTATTTGGGGGGGTCCTTATCATAAGATCCTACTTTTTAGGGGTAGTATCCTAGGATCCCCCATTTTCGGAAGCTCCCATTTCAGGTGGGCAAGACCAAGACCCTAGGCTTCTCGAACCCGCTTTGGACCAACAGCGACCTCCTCAACGAAGGCTGGGTCTGTAGGAACTGGCATTTAGGGTTTACTTGGAGGTTCATGGGTAGTTATAAGTAGGGTTAGAAGTCTCCTAATATGGGTTATAAGTCTAGATATCCTACTTATAACCCTACTTATAACGACCCATGAACCTCCAAGTAGGCTTCGCCGGAAGTCCGGGCCACTTCGGATCTCGGGCATTTGGGCGTTGAGGGGATTTGCGGTTTCGGGGTTCTGGGGTGTGAGGTTCAGGTTCAGGTTCAGGGTTTAGGGTTTAGGGTTCAGGTTCAGGGGTTAGGTTCCAGGATTTAGGGTTGATTCGGGGCTTGGGGTTCAGGCTTGGGAGCTGCAAACGGGTTGGTCCTACCGTCTGGAAGGCTCTGCGGTGGCCACGGAGGAGGATGCCAAGTACAGTGCATTCAACACCGAGCCCTTTAAGAAGGTTCGCATGTGCGTCGGAAGCCCGGAATCCAATTGCGTGGAGCACATCTTCTCCAAGAAGTACGACAATGCGAAGGCCCTTTTCAGCGCCGGGTACACTCGAGACGCAACCGTGAAGCGGGACGAGATTCTCAGTACCTTCGGCCCTGCGAAAGACTCCTACCAGGACTGTCCCATGCAGAGGCCACTCAAGACATGCACTGCGTGTTTGCTGTTTGAAGCATTGCTCCCGCTGTTGCTCTGTTCTGAACGGTTCCTTGAGGCCTGGCTTCAACATCGAGTGCAACGATGGCAACAAGGCTCGTTGGGGCTTCTGCCTCAACTGCGCCAGCCAGGGTTGCCAGAATGACGACGGCAACGACGCCGACGCAGCTATCGGCATTGGACTCGCAGGACAGAGCACCGACACGGAGCTGGGAGGAGGTTGGACTGCGTACCGCAGCTGCAAATCCAGATGTGCTTCGCGTTCTTTGCATCCACGCGGGTGGCGTGCTTGTGCCCGTCTCTCTGAGGTATTTCGCTTCAGGGAAAGGGACCTGCAGCGCGAACAGCAAGACGTTCAAAGCCGTGTCCCGTCGGCTTTAGGCTTCGGTCTGTGCATTGTTTGCCCAGAGCTTTTTCCAGCAGTGCGTATTAATAATATTATTATTAGTATATTATTATTATTGTTATTATGATGTTGATTATTATTATTAGTAGTAGTATTATGTGTTTCACCGCGTAGTCCCCTACCGAACGCAAGGCTACCATCGGTGTGGAGGTTTTTACCTTTAACCGGCACAGGAGGGTTCCTTTTGAGGGTACCACGGTTCATGATGTGAATCCTGCATTATCCGTAGTAGGGAATCTACCATGATTCCCATAAGGCAGGATTTATATCATCAACCGTACTAGAGTTTCGTGACGGGGTGTGGAAGTTCCGGGACCCGAAACCGGAAAGCCCAGGTGTGGCTTTGGGTCTACAGCCTCAAGGCTCCGCCGCCCAAGGCGAGCCCGGAGGTCTAGGCGGTTCAGGGCCCCCAAGGGTTTGAGGATTTCGGGGTTTGGCGTGTAGGGGTTTAGGGATTTAAGGTCTAAGAATTTTTGGGCTTGAAACAAGGAGGCCCATGTAAACTCCTATCCAGCAGCCCCAAACTTCACACATGAAGCCAAACCGCTTAGTGTCCTCAACCCCCCCGGACCTATCCAAGGGTAAAAGGACGGACCCTTCATAATGACCCCTAGGTAAAAACCCTTAATATAGCGATTATATACCCATTATATGGCCCATTATAGGGTAGGGGTCCCCATGAAGGGTCCCTCCTCTTCCCCTTTGAACCTAAACGCTCAACGCTAAATCCTAACCCTGAAACCCTACTCTGAATCCTATTCCTGAAGGCCTACACTCCAAATCCTTACCCCGAATCCCGAAAGCCCATTGAAAGCTGAGCCGCGGACCCCCAATATAGGGGCCTTAATATAATTACCTATGCTTTTTGGGGGGTTCCTTACTATGATTATAGTATAACGGACCCGAAACCCTATTTTGAAAGATTAAGGCCCCTATATATCTCCCTCTTCTACGGAGCTCTAGAAGCAACTCCCTAGAGAGCGGCTTGGCAAGACCGAAACCGAAGGTTATCAAGGCCCAGCTTGCGAGATCTGGCGTTTGCGTTTGGGGTTGATTGTACTTGGAGGTTCGCGGGAAGTTGGAAGTCATGGGTTCCGAGGGGTTTAGGGTTCCTTTAAGGGTTTTGTAGGGTTAAGGGTTTGGGGTAGTTACAAGTAGGGTTATAAGCAGGGTAGCTATACTTATGACCCATACTAGGGGACTTATAACCCCACTTATAACGACCCCTGAACCTGCAAGTCGTCCCTGTGGAATCCAGAACGCTTCCGACAAAGTCCGACGCCAGGGCAACTGGAAGCTCGCGCTGAAGGTTGGCAAGACAGCGACCCTGGGCTTCTCCAACGCGCTTTGGACCAACAGCGACCTGCTGAACGAGGCGTCGGCGCCGGCCACCGAGGAGGATGCCAAGTACAGCGCATTTAACACGGAGCCCTTCAAGCGGGTTCGCATGTGCGTCGGAAGCCCGGAGTCCAATTGCGTGGAGCACGTCTTCTCCAAGAAGTACGACAATGCGAAGGCCCTTTTCAGCGCCGGGTACACTCGAGACGCCACCGTGAAGCGGGACGAGATTCTCAGTACCTTCGGCCCTGCGAAAGACTCCTACCAGGACTGTCCCATGCAGAGGCCAGTCAAGACATGCACTCAGTGTTTGCTGTCAGAGGCATTGCTCCCGCTGTTGCCCCCGCTTCTGCCGTTGCTGCCTCTGTTGTGAACAGTTTCGCGAGGCCTGGCTTCAACATCGAGTGCAACGATGGCAACAAGGCTCGCTGGGGCTTCTGCCTCAACTGCGCCAGCCAGGGTTGCCAGAATGACGACGGCAACGACGCCGACGCAGCCATCGGCATTGGACTCGCAGGACAGAGCACCGACACGGAGCTGGGAGGAGGTTGGACTGCGTGCCGCAGCTGCAAATCCAGATGTGCTTCGTGTTCTTTGCATTTGTCGCATCTGCATCCACGCGGGTGGCGTGCTTGTGCATGTCTCTCTGAGGTACTTCGCTTCAGGGAAAGGGACGTGCAGCGCAAACAGCAAGACCTTCAAGGCTGTCTCCAGGCCAAACAGAGATCCAACGATCTGTAGCTGGTTGTGCGGTCGGTAGAGTTTGTACGAACGGTTGTGATGGCATATCGAAGGTGCAACTGTTCTGTCACATGAAACTGACGTCGGAAGGGAGCTTTTTTGCGAAGTGCGAAGCAAGACCCCCGAGCGCGCATAACATCATCTTCTTATGCATTTACTCATGCATGCCTCCGCCTTCCCTTGCTCGAGAAAGGCTGATGCTGTTAACTGGGCCCGGCAGACAGGAGGTTAGCGCATGTCAGGCACGTTGTAAACTGTCCGATGCATCTACAGGTCTGGGTCGGCCTCCAGCCGAAGCGAAGAGCACCAAGAAATGAACAAGATCAGGGTGAAGATATGAGCTCCCTATATACATGTATTGTAATATATATATATATATATATATATATATACATAACCATATTATAATATATTCTATATTATATACCATATTCTATAGTGTGACATTAATACTCGCCTTTGTGTGCCGTGCAGCGCATGAGGTGCCGGGCCTGAAGCCCCCACACTCTCCCGAGGTTTCTTTAACAGCCCGCAATATAGTAGACTACAAACATATTATATACTCGTAATATAGTACGAAGATAATGTCATTTAGGGTATGTTCATACTAACAGATTGTAACAAAATGGAACCTGGGTGTATGTAAACCCTCTGTTGCAAAGACTCAAAGGCGGCGAAAAAGTCGAAGACACCCGAAAGAGACAACGCAGCTCAGGTTTGGTTTTGGGTGGACAGCCTGACGAAGCCAACCCCGAAGGATTGGGTTTACGGTTAAGGGCTTAGGGTTTAGGTTTAGGATTCCTTCTTGTCCTCGGCTCTCTTTGGTTCCCGGGGTTTGGGTAGAGGAGAGTTCTTCAGACGGCGCGCTTTTATGGTGTGCTGTCGGGTAATAAGGGGGGCTAGGCTTCGTTTTGGGGGCGAATGCTGTGATCCGTTGCAGGTTTTTTTCTTGCGGAGAGCGTTGTCTTGTCGAGTTCCTTAGCCATCTTCAGTTCCCTAAACTCTAAACCCTAGACCTTAAACCCTAAACCCTAAACCTTAAACCCTAAACCCTAAACCCTAAACCGTCAGTTCAGGTTCACTACGTAGAGCTTGTGTTTCAAGTCTTTGGGGACGTAGAACCACGACATCCGAATCGGAGAGTTTCCGGACATCAGGGGTACCTTATCTTGGGGTCCTTAGAATTATCATCCTACTCAATATTAGGGTCACCCTACCCCTAAACCCTAAACCCTAAACCCCTGTTTTCGGAAACTCCCTCTGCTTTGGGGCTGGGGTGCCTTGACAGGGCGACTTCAAGGTCGTGCCTGGCAAGAAATGTACGGGCACTCCCTACACGCAGCTCGGCTGCCAAATGAGAGTTTCCGAAAATTCGGGGTACCTTATCTTGGGGTCCTTATAATAAGGATCCTACTATTTAGGGTACTATATTAAGGTCCCCTAATATTCGGAAACTCCCAAATCGTTTCGGTAGCATCCCGGCGGGTGTTCGCGTACGACGAATTGTTTGCTTCGCAGCCCTTTAGCCCTGAGGCCAGTCTCCTTAAACTCTATATCAAAACTCCACGGCATGATGGAAACACGCTTGTATGCTCAGTGTATGATGGATGTACCGCAAACCTTTAGAAAGCTTCGTTTCAATTGGAGCCAGGCCCCAGTATAGACCCCAAATGGTAGACCCTTCTTGCGGCTGAGGTTCGACACGGCTTCGAAGTGTGATGGTTTCCAAGGCCTGTCCGTGGAACAGCTCGGGGCTCAAGGAACTGTGAGAGCCAGGGCGCCTACTTAAACTCCTCGAGCTGTAAACGTTAAACTCATACAGCCTACTTGCAGGTTCATGGGTAGTTATAAGTAGGGTAACTATACTTATCACCCATATCAGGGCACTTATATCCCCACTTAAAACTACTCCTGAACCTCCAAGTAGCATCTCAACCTAAAGAGCCCTCAAGCTGATTCCTCAGACCTTGCTGCGTGGATGCTTGCAGGGTATTGTGGTTCGGAGCTGCAGCAACCCCACGCCTCAAAGCCGCTGAACGCCTCTTTTCGGTTTGGGGCTTAGGCCCCAAAGCCCTACACTCTAAACCCCGAGCCCCCGAGCCGAACCCTGCGTCCTAAACCCCTTCCCCGAATTCCAAGAGCCAGCACGAAGCGCTTGGCCCCTCAAGTAGTTCGGTCGAAGCCGTCGACACCCCAACATTCCTGACTAGATTGAGGCTCCCTTAAAGCTAGCGTTCCGTAAGTGCTTTGCTCCGGATTTTGCTAAGGCAAGGCTTTGGCAAGGGCCGTAAACGAATGTTATAATATAGGGGCCTAAATAGTTACCTATACTATATTGGTGGTTCCTTATGATACTTACAGTATGATGGGCCCCCAAACCCTACTTTAATGTCATTGTAGAACCCTGTTATACATCCCTTATAGACCCCTTCAATCATCCCTCAAAAGGAACCCTAACCAGTTTCTGGACGTCAGCGATGGAGTCCTCCACCCCAAAGCTCTGGACCCGTGAAGCCCTGAACCCCCAAATAAACCCTAAACCCTAAACCCCTAAACCTTATTAAAAAAAAAACCCAAACCGCTAAAACCTAAATTCGATGAAAAGCATTAAAGCTCCTTGACCCCTCGAGTTCTCGATGCGGGGCCTTTCTTTCTTGAGCATATCGTCTTGATGAAATGCAGTAAGTTTCATGAAGGAGGTGCAGAAAGCCGAGTTTTCCAAAGAGTGTTCCCAGAAGAACCGGACCCCAGAGACTCCAATATCCTTTAATCAGGGAATAGATTTTAAGCCATATTAGGGATCCTACTATAATTGAAGGTATACTCCCTAATCAAAGGATATTGGAGTCTCTGGGACCCAGTGGTGTCAGGAGAAGTGCTTCGAAAGCGCGAAGGCGGCCAACTGCCCCCAGAAGACCTGCCTCTCGGCCTTAAGAGTTAGAATAGGGTTTTGTCATAGGGTTCCTTTAAAGGGTCTCTATAAGGGTTTCTATAAGGGTTTCTATAAGGGTTTCTATAAGGATTCTATTTTGGAAACGGGAAGGAGCGAGCTGAACAGGGGCTTGCTTGGAGGTTCAGGTGTAGTGTTAAGTAGGGCCAAGTAGGGTAAGAAGTCTCCTAATATGGGTTATAAGTATAGTTACCCCACCTATAACCCTACTTGTAACTACCCATGAACCTCCATGTGGTGGGGGCTGAACGATAGGCGCTTAGTACAAGCTTGCAACGGACCTACTGTTACTGTTGATGGACCGTTGTGCCCTCAATCGCCTAGTCTAGGTCAAGCAAGCTAATGCAGCATATTATCCATCAACAGCAGTGCCGCCGAAGCTAACGGCACCAAGCCCCCTGGCTGTTATGATTTAGCCTTAAACCCACAAGACCCCAAAGCCCAAGCCTGAAAGTCCTGTAGATATTGGACTGACTAGGGTTTGCGGTCAAGTTTAGGGTCGAGGCAGAACTTGATGTCCCTGCGCCTACCCTAAACCCTAAACCCTAAAGAACCCTGAACCTTGAACCCGGAACCCTGAACCCTAAGCCCTAAACCCTGAACCCTAAACCCTAAACCCTAAACCCTTAACCCTGAACCCTAAACCCTGAACCCTAACCCGAACTTTACCAAACTTTCCCCCACTGCGGATTCGCCACCGAGGCCCCACAAAGGCCTCGGACGCCATGGCCCTAAACCTTGAAGCCCCGAAGCCCTAAATCCTGAAACCCCAAAGCCCGAGAATCGGAGAGCCTCAAACCCCAAGCGCTGGAATGCAGAAATTCACAAGGTAAGCCTTGAAACATAAACTAAGATCTCTCAGGTCCAAGTTTTGAATAACTTCAACGCCTTCTCTCGAACCCCTTGAGATCCATGTCGGGTAGGCGGTGCCGCAGTCTCCTACAAGTCGGGTTGGTGCCACCTCTACGAGGCCTTCCGCGGCTTTTTAGTGGCTTCTTCTTCCTGTACTTGGAGGTTCGTTAGGGTAGTTATAAGTGGGTTATAAGTCCCCTAATATGGGCTACAAGTATAGTTTCCTTACTTGTAACCCTACTTATGACTACCCATGAACCTCCAAGTAGTATGATTTCATTCCCGAAATTGCGTTTTCCAGAGCTGTGCTAGGTTGAGGCCGCAGTATTTCTGTGTAGCATGTGTGGAAAAATAATGTGTGGTTTGGGGAAGCAGAATCGGTGGTTTAGGGTCTCGGGTTTGGGGTAAGGGGCACGTTGAGGGTGTTGCTTGGAAGATTACATGCAACCTCTTGGCTCTCTTTTTGACCCTACTGTGTCCCTGCATCGTAAACCCCACGCTAAACGGTATTATAGACCCTCCCGTGACAAGGATACAGATCCTAAGAGGGATCTGAATGTCAAGGCCACTAGAGGGACTGAGATAATTGAGTCTTACATGCCCCAACAAATCCCCCTGACATTGATCATTTTCCGAAGACGCTAAACAACAGTATATAGCCCCGATACGAAAAGAGGCTCGTTCAAGGAAGCAAACCATTACAAACCCAGAGACACCCGTGTCTACCTTGTGGGTTCAGGCTCCAAACTGCGATATTGATGCGGTGTAACGTGTCAACGTGAATCTGGGGTTTTGCGGTCAGGGCTGTAGAGGCTTTGGGGGTGTGAGGGTCTTCAGGGATTGTTTTCTTTTTTTTTTTTTCAGGTTTGAAGGGTTTCTAGCCGTTTTGACGGGTGTTTTTCCGTTGCTCGGCTTGTTTAGGAGTTGTAGGATTGTGGGCTGGCTTCGAGCGATGATGGAGCTATCGTTTTTTTTTAGGGGTTTTCGGGAGTTTAGCACTTTGGGTGCTGGTTCAGTGACTGCCGCGGTCTTATAGGAACCATTTACAGCAAGGCGTTAGCATCGTAATATAGCTGCCCTAGATATTACCTATACTATTTAGGAGGTTCCTTATTATAATTATAGTATAAAGGGTCCCAAAACCCCATTCTAATCATTAAGGCCCTATATTAGGCTTGATACGGAAGCCAAGATGCGCCACGCTTGAAAGGAGTGTCCGGAGCAGTACGATCAAAGTGAAGCTACAGCCATTCTTGGGAAGGCCGGGTGAGCCTATAGACCCTAAATCCCTAAACCCCTAAGCCCCTAAATCGCTAAACCCCTAACCCCTAAACCCCTACACCCCTAAACCCTAAACCCCTGAACCCTAAACTTAAACCCCCTAGCCCCCCAACCCCCTATACCCCACAAACCCCAGCCCCTAAACCCCTGAACCCTGCTCTTTGCTGTTGGAGTGGACTGCTTCGAACCTGCACTTTGCCAGGGCCCGGCCGTGGGGCTGTCCCCAGGTTTGGGATTTGAGAGTTTCGGGTTCTCTTCTGCTAAGTAGAATCGGGTTTTGGGGCCCATTAAAGTGATAGGGGCCTCAATTTTGGGGCCCATTATACTTTATAATTATAAGTAGGAACCCTTAAAATTGGTTTGTAGTTATTCGACCCTGACTGCGGCCCCTTTTCAGGAACGCCAGGGCAACTGGAAGCTCGCGCTGAAGGTTGGCAAGACAGCGACCCTGGGCTTCTCCAATGCGCTTTGGACCAACAGCGACCTGCTGAACGAGGCGTCTGCAGTATCCACCGAGGAGGATGCCAAGTACGACGCCTTCAACACGGAGCCCTTCAACAGGCTTCGCATGTGCGTTGGCAGCCCGGAATCCAATTGCGTGGAGCACGTCTTCTCCAAGAAGTACGACAATGTGAAGGACCTCTTCAACGCAGGGTACATTCGAGACGAAACCGTGAAGCGGGACGAGATTCTCGCTACTTTCGGCCCGACAAAAGGTTCCTACCAGGACTGTCCCATGCAGAGGCCAGCCAAGCCATAGATTGCATGGTTCCCCTTAAAAGACATTGTCCGTTCCTGCTGCTGCTTCTGCAGCGGTTCCTTGAGGCCTGGCTTCAACATCGAGTGCAACGATGGCAACAAGGCTCGTTGGGGCTTCTGCCTCAACTGCGCCAGCCACTTACCTTTGATTTAGATCCCTTGTAGTAACCCTTATAGACCCCCTTTTAAAGGAACCCTATTTCAAAATTTAGTAGAAGAATACCAACCACTGGTAGACCCCCCTTAAAGGAACCCTACTTCAAAATTTACTAGAAAAATCCTAACCCAATGGTAAGGCCAGGGTTGCCAGAACTCCGACAGCAACGACGCCGACGCCGCCATCGGCATCGGACTCGCGGGACAGAGCACCGACACGGAGCTGGGAGGAGGGTGGACGGCGCCCTCCGGCCGCAGAGTTTAGGGTTTAGGGTTTAGGGTTTAGGGTTTAGGGTTTAGGGCTTAGGGCTTAGGGTTTAGGGTTTAGAGCTTAGGGTTTAGGGTTTAGGGCTTAGGGTTTAGGGTTTAGGGTTTAGGGCTTAGGGTTTAGGGTTTAGGGCTTAGGGTTTAGGGTTTAGGTGCATGTGTTGTGCTTCTGCCCAGCAGGTGGCATAAGATGGAGGCCAAAATAATTGCCAAGACTATATTGAAGGTTCCGTATCATAGAAAGAGGACACGGTATACCCAAAAAGCCAAGCCTACAGGCTGCCATATTGACAGCCTGCAGAAATCTTTTTTCTTTTTCTCTCCCAGGTATCCTTATTAGGGTTCCCATAATAGGGTTCATATTCAGGAATCCCTACCCCAAGAATCTTAAACCCCCCCTTTTGGCCTCCCATCAAGGTACTTCGCATCTGGGGCCGGCACCTGCAGCGCCAACAGCAAGACCTTCAAGTCGGCCGCCAGGCGAAAACATGGGCAGGTTCCGAAAAGAGGGGACCCTAATAAGGGTTCCTTTAAGGGATCTATAAGGGTTCCCTTAGGGGATCTATAAGGTTCCTTTAAGGGATCTATAAGGGTTCCTATAAGGGATCTATAAGGGTTCCAGAAGGCCCAGCAGTGGTGGCTGATCTATGGGTTTAGTGTGGCTCCAAAAAGGGGTACTTTGCTTTGCAGGAGCTGCCTCAAGATCCCAAGAGGCCAGTTTTTGCCACGGGACTCGGGCTCCCGTAAGTCTCTCAGGGATGTTGTTAATTTGGGCAGCCCATTGCCAGGGAAGACTTGGTCCTAGAAGAAGGACCGGGCGGCCTGAAATCCACAAGTTCACGTCCTTGCTGAGGAATGCTGAACGAACCACAATGGGATGTATCTTCCCGTCTGGATGGGCCTACAGTTTAGGCAGACTTCCCATGTGGGAGTTTCCGAAAATTTGGGTTACCTGATTTCTGGGTCCTTGTAATAAGGATCCTACTACTTAGGGTACTATATTAGGGTCCCCTATTTTCGGACACTCACAGGAGACCGATGTCATGCCATAGGTTCCGGAGTCTAAACTCTCCACAGGGTTGCTGGTTGTGTTGGCAGATAACATCATGAACTTGTTAGGATCTCTCTCTTGAGCGCATCCGGGGTCTGGTAGATGCGGGAGCTTAGTAGAAGCCTTCAGTCGTTTCTTGTTTCTGTGCCTTCGAAGACTTTTCCACTTCGGATCTCCAGTGGGCCCTCCGGATTTTGTCACTCAGCGGGCGCAGCAACCTGGAACCATCCCAGCCAAAAAAATGCTAAAGCCAACACCGCCAAAACCACCCAAAAAAAGTCCGGCAAAACCAGACAAAACTCCGCACCCAAAGCCTATACCACTTTTATAGCCGCGAAACCCCTAAAGCTCTAAGTCCCAAACCCAGGAAGCCGAAGCCCAGGTTTGGCTCTGGGTCGACAGCCTCAAGCAACCGAAGAAGCAACCGAAGAAGCCTCCCTCGAAGGTGGGAACCGGGCCTTTTGAGCTGTTGAGTTTGAGAGTTTGCGTTTCTGCAGGGTTTGGGATTTTGGATTTAGGGTTTAGGGTTTAGGGGCTGCCGGGCAGCGCGGGTGAGGGTCTATCGGAGTTCGTGAGGATCGTGTAGGGGTAGGGCCAGGTGGGTGCTTCATGGCATTGACACGCTTGCGGTAAGGGCTTTGCAGAGGTCTATGGGGTTGATGTGTTGTGTGGGTTTGAGTTTCCAGGTTTCGGGAAGAGTGGCGAGTGCTTAGTAGCATGGGGACAATGTTCCGTGATCTCGCAGCTCAGAAACCTGTCTAGGGCTTGGGATGTGCGGTTTAGTACTGAAGTTGGCGGGCCATCGCCCACAAGGAGATCGTATTTTCTAGAGGTGCAGGCACAAGCCCTTCAATTACACAGCTCCGAAAGAAGGCTTGGTGTGAAACCTTGCAAAGCCGAAGGAAGATATGCAAAAGCCTCATGTATTTGCGATGACCTGCCGCGCCGTCTGACCGAGTCACGCGGAGTAGTATACGGGCCTGAATAATATTTCAATAGGGTTTTGGGGTCCGTTGTACTATAATTATACTAATAAGGAACTCCCCAAAATGCTATAGGTATTTATTTAGGCTCCTACAGTAGTGGTGTACCGAGTATCTGAAACTCTAGAGACGCAAAAGGGTTCTTCCAAGCCTCCAAGCTAGGCCGGTGAAGCACTTCCAATTGATGTTAGAGTTTGGGGTTTAGGGTAGAAGCAGCGAATCCCGAAACGCCAGGGTTGAATGCCTTCGAAGGTAAGGATTTAGGCTGTAGGGTCCATGTACCCATATAAGGTATACTTGGAGGTTCATGGGTAGTTATCAGTAGGGTTATAAGTAGGGTAGCTGTACTCGTAACCCATATTGGGGTACTTATAATCCCACTTATAACCACCCCTGAACCTCCAAGTACTCCAGACCCCAAACCTCAAATCCTAAAGTAAACCTCAAGCCTCAAACGGTAAACCCAAAACCCTACATCCTAAAAGGTTCAGGGGTAATTGTAAGTGGGTTATAAGTACCCTAATATGGGTTATAAGTATAGTTGCCCTACCTATAACCCTACTTATAACTACCCATGAACCTCCAAGTAAACCCTATAGTCCCCAAAACTATGCAGGATCACTGGGAGCTGGCTTTGAAGGTTGGCAAGACCGCGACCCTGGGGTTCTCCTCTCCGCTCTGGACGACCGACGACCTGCTCAACTCAGGCCCTGAGCGACCTGAAATCTTGACCCCCTTAAACCCTGGACCCTGGACCTATAAACCCAAAACCCTAGGGGGAGGGCAGTTTTGCATAAGTTCTGTGAAGGTTCTTGTGCAGATTTTGTGAGGGGTTGTTTGGTTTCTAGACGTTCCACGCAGGTTTTGCACAGGGTCTATACAGGCTTTAGAAGGGTTTAGGGTTTTTACGTATCGGGGTTCTAAGTTGAGCGAAGTTGAACGATGGGTGCGATGCGGGCTCTATAGGAGGTTATAAGGGTTCCAATAAGGATTCTAGTCAAGAAGGGCTACAGGGAAGACATTGGCTTGACGTCTAGGGACGGCTGGGGTTTCGGCGGAAAGCTTATGGGTTTGCGGGATTCGCGGTAGATTTTATTTAGATGGTTCAACATCAGGTTCGCCAATGGCGACTGAGGAGGATGCCAAGTACGATGCGTTCAACACGGTCCCCTTCAAGAAGGTTCGTATGTGCATCGGAAGCCCGGAATCCAACTGCGTGGAGCACGTCTTCTCCAAGAAGTACAAGAACGCAAAGGCCCTTTTCAGCGCCGGGTACATTCGAGACGAAACCGTGAAGCGGGACGAAATTCTGAAGAAGTTCGGCCCTGTGAAAGACTCCTACCAGGACTGTCCCATGCAGAGGCCAGGCAACAAAGTCGCATGTTCGCTTTTGGAGGCTAAATTCCGACCGCTCCTTCTGTTGTGAGCGGTTCCGCAAGGCCTGGCTTCAACATCGAGTGCAACGATGGCAACAAGGCTCGCTGGGGCTTCTGCCTCAACTGTGCCAGCCAGGGTTGCCAGAATGACGACAGCAACGACGCCGACGCAGCCATCGGCATTGGACTCGCAGGACAGAGCACCGACACCGAGCTGGGAGGAGGTTGGACTGCGTGCCGTAGCTGCTATCGCTTGGTGAGCTTTGCAAGCTTGTAGCCTTCGCAAGTGGAGCACTGTTCACTCGTCCTTCGGCCGTCCTTAGGTACTTCGCCTCCGGCAAGGGCACGTGCAGCGCCAACAGCAAGACCTTCAAATCCGCCTCCCGGCCGCTCTTGACCCTTGAACCTCAAGAGCCCAGCTTCGATCACTCCAGCTCTCCATAAGCCCTGCCTGCAGCTTAGGCCTGCAAACCCTGTCACCTAAACCTCAAGCGCAAGACCCTATAATCCCCCAAGATCGGCTCTGGAAACATCCAAAAAGAGATGTCAACAGGAATCAAGGCAACAACGAGGCAAACCCTGAACCATGTCCAACCCTACTTTGATTACTAAGGCCCCCAGATTAAACCCTAAACCCTGGTCCTAAACCCTAAGCCCCAACCTCTTAAACCCTAGGCGCGAGAAGCCCGAAGCCGGGCATGCATTTTCTCGAGAATCTACGGCCTGAGTCGGCTCCCTGACAGCCTGGAACCCCTAAGCCCAAGCCCAAGAAAACCAGGCGTGGGTCCAAGAATCCTTCGGAAACCTTATGAGCAAGGTAAAACTCCTTCAGCCCACCAATCAAAGGACTTACGATACCCTTAGGGAAACTCTGAAACCCAAGCGAAGACGCCCGTAGAAACCGTAGAAGAATCGAAATTCAGCTGCAGAAACCCTACAAACTCTCTAAACCCCCAAACCCCCGAGCTCTTAAGCCCCAGGTCTGGTTCCGGGTACTTGTAAGTATGGCAACTATACTTAGAGCCCATATCAGGGGACTTATAGCCCCACTTACCGACTTATGACTACCCCTGAACCTGCAAGCCCCTAGTAGTATGATAATCCACTGAAAATCTAATATCTATACCAGTATCGTATCCTTATAGCATTATAGCACCCTTACAACCTATACCATCAAAAAACCCCAAGGCCCTGAGCCTTAAGCCCTGAGCCTTTAAATCTCCAAGCCTTGCACCCCGAAACCCCTAAGCTCCTAAGCCCTAAACCCTAAACCCTAAGCTCCTGAACCCTACAGTTACACCCTAAACCTTAAACTCCAAACCCTCAACCCTAAACCCCAAACCCTAAGCCTAAACCCCGAAAATCACCAAAATCCCCAAACCCTTAACCCAGTAGTGCATTGTAGCACCCTCCTATCGTCAGGTCTGTCTACTGATAGCCCATATTAAGGGACTTATATAACCCTACTTATAACTACCCAGGAACCTCCTAAGCCCAGGTCTGGTTCTGGGTCGCCAGCCTCGAGGGTTCCTCGAAGCCCTACACGCTGACGAAGGACGAGTGGACCCCGGTGATGAAGATCGCAGAGGCCCCCCTTCTTTTTTGGGGTGAGTTTGAGGGTTCTTTTCAAGGTTAACAGGGATCCGTAAGGCTTCCTTTAAGGCCGAGGCCCCCCCTTTTTTTGGGGTGAGTAGTGTTTAGGGTTTAGGGTTTAGGGGATTTTAGGGACTTTGGGGATGAAGATCGCAGAGGCCCCTTTTGCTGGGGGTTCCTTTTGGGGACTTGGGGGTCTAGGGTTTGGGGTTTAGGGTTTAGGGATTTTAGGCCCTTTGTTGGGGTTCCTTTAAGGGTTCTTCTAAGGTTAAAAGGGATGCATAAGGGTTCCTTTTTAAGGGTTCGTTTTGAAGTTAAAACCAGACAAAGTTTAGGGTTTAGGGTTTAGGGTTGTTTGTGGAGGATTTTCGGGACTTCGGTGATTTTTGGGATTTGTGTTGCTTTTGGGGCGTGCAGGGGGTTTACGGGGTTTTTGGCGGTTTAGGGTATAGGGGCTTTGTGCGAGGCTTGTGCAAGGGTGCTCACAAAAGGTGTGTTTTCAAAGCTTCGCAATGGGGCAATGCCTTGCCCCAGATCTAAGGCGTGACCCTAAGCCTGAAATCTGCAGACTTGATGATGGGCGTGTGAATCCAACCGCCTTGCGGCCCAAACTTAAAAATCTCGTTTAAGCGAGGCGCAGCTCGTGAGACCCCATCATCCCCTTGTTGCAATCACACCGCAACCCCCATATTTCAGTGTCCACAAGAGCTCCCTAGTGCTTCACTGTAAGCCCTACGCCCGACACCCTCCACATACAAATCTTAAACCCCAAGCCGCGAAACTCGACAGCTAAAATCTTACACCCGACGGAGCCCCAAAACCACTAAACCCCCCGGCCTATCCCTAAATCCTTAACCCCAAACCCTCGACCCTCCTAAACTGAGCCCAGTACTATAGGGGCCTAATAACCTTTGGGGGCCCCTTTTTTTTATAATTATTGTATCATATCCCTTATAGTAACCCTTGTAGACCCCTTTAAAGGAACCCTATTGTAATAATAAAGGCCCCCATCGTAAGCCCGGCGAGACCACCACCCTCGGCTTCTCCTCCGCCTACTGGACCAACGACGAGCTCCTGAAGCCCGACTCGAGCATCGAGGCGGAAGAGGACCGGGCCCGAGGGGTGCTCTAAGGGTACTCTCAGGATAAGGGTTTAGGGTTTACGGTTTAGGATACCGCAAGGTTACTAGTAGGTCGTCTAAGGGTGCGATATGGGTGCCATGAGGGTACAAAACGCTACTCTTGGGACACCATAAGGTTACTATCAGGATACTGCAGTAGTATGGGGTATAAGGCATAAGGGTACTATACTGCGATGGCTATGAGGATACGATGATGGTATAGGTTATAAGTGTACTATAATACTATAAGGGTACGATGGTGGTGCAGGATATATTGGATTATAAAGGTGTATAATACTATGAGGATACTATAATACCGGTAGAGGATATAAGTGTATAAGAGTACTATTGTACTGTAAGGGTACTGTCACACATACTCATAGCGATAGTACTCACAATCATGGTCACAAAATTAGTAATGGCAGTCAGAATGATGGCAATATTGAGTGACTGAAGTCTCATGATTCTCCGCGTCCCCGCCTGGGCCCCGTGGTCCGGGGCCGCGTCTGGCCGCTCATCTCTGCTCTCGAACACGCTCGGACTTTCAAAGTCCCGGCACGCTAAAACCTCAGTGGACGTCAGTGGCCATCGTCGTGGAGAACGAGGAAGGTACTGCCCACAGTTTCCGTGACAAAGCTTCGGGTTGACTGCGCTTGCGGAGGGAATGGCAAGCGGCTGTACAGTGGAGGGAGAGGGCAGCGAATCACCTAGGGTGAAATGCAGAATCAACGGCGATTGATCTTGCGCCTCACGCGAGCACTGCGTGCACTCAGCGTCCCGTCTCAGATGAGCTGGAAGCCCATATGTCCGTCAGGAGTCTGCAGCATGGCAGGCTACCAAGATGATGCAGAAGCCGCCGCTCCAGGGTTATGCCATGAAAGACACGAGGGTTTAGCAGTTGAACGGACGCAACAAAGTTAGCAGTCTTCCAGGCCCCGAGTGGGGATCCAGACGAAAAGAGCCACCTTCATCCGAAATCCACAACTGGCCACCACGCCAACGACTGCAAGTTAGCAAGGTACCAACATGTTCGGAACTCGCCGAATCCTTATGAAGAACGATGACGGCAGTGGAGTTGCTGGCGGCGATGGTAGTGCTCATGGTGGTCATGGTGATCGCCGCGGTGATCCTGGTCAGTTCGGCGCGAGGTCTTGGTTATCCTGCTCTTCCTGGTGGTCCTGGTCGTCTCAGTCGTTGTGGTCGTGGTGGTGGTGGCGGTGCTGGCGATGGTGGTCATAGTAGTCGTGGTCGTCCTGCTATCATGGGGGCTGGCACGGTCTTTCACTGTTTGGGTATCTATGCTGGGCATACTTGTATACAGCTGTTTATGTTATCTGGAGTTTTGGAACACTTATGAGGCAGATTTGCAAGTCATGGCAATGTTCAGCATTACATCCACGCATGCAGCGGTACATAACAACCTAACATAGCGAAAAAGCTGTTGGAACATGTTGGAACTGAGCGAAGCAAGAGCAAGCAACATATGCCAGTGTGCAGCTGGAGTGCCCCATGGCCATGTTCCTCCGCAAACCTGCAGCAAATTTGGAAAGTCTTCGGTGGATGATTCCCAGATCCCTTGTACCTTAAACTATAGCCCTGAGGATGCGAAGTATCAGGCCTACCTGGATAAGGAGCTGGAGTCCATCCGCATGTGCATTGGTAGGCGGGCCTTCTTCCCATCTGGGGGCTTAGGGTTTAGCGACGTTTAGGGTATTTCTGCGAGCTGTTGCTGCTTGCAGCATTTTGGTGTTTTCTTCGCCATAGCTTTTGTTGTCACAAGAGCCCTAATGATAAGAGGCGCTAGCAGTATGCATGCCGCAAGACTCACTGATCACGGGGATCACTGTCATTCCAATGCTATTGTCGTCGCTATTGCTACTAGTATTCCTCTTCGTCGTCATGTCATTATTGTCATAAGTACTAAAGCCTGAACTGCACCATATTGGTCGTAGTACAACTCCGATGCGGTCAGGGTCGACACCAACTGCGTGAAGCACACTTTCAAGAAGAAGTACAAGAGCGCCAAGGACAGGTTCCTACCTCCGGATCTGTCGAGCTCCAGAAGACCTGATTAGGCCTGGTGAATTACCCGCCAAACCACACACCACGGGCTCAGGGTTGCTTCGTCAACCTCTCACAGGGCAAACACGCCAGCACTTTCACCGATCCTGAACCGTCAAAGCCCCAAACTCATACAGGCTTCAACCACGCCAGAAACCTTTGAACGGCCCGAGAACCGCAGCCCTAAACCCACAACCCCAAAACCTTTATATCCTTGTGCAATTACGCAGCCTCAAACCGCTGAGCCCTTAAGAGCTAAACCCTGAAGCCCGAATTCCACAGAAAAGCACCCAAAAGGAAGCCGGGAGCGTAAATTCTCGGATCCTCAGTACAATGGTTCGTCAGCCAAGTAAAGCCTTTAAACGCAGCAACAAACCTTTTCCAAAGAGCTACATGGCCTCACAGCACCTTTTAAGGCTAGCAAGCCCTGAGCCTAAACTTCAACTCAACCATACAGCATGGGCGTCCATGTAATTATGCAGGTCCCAAAACCCGCCAAGAAAGACCCACAAGAATAAACCCTAAACCCTAAACCCTAAACCCCCAAAAGAGAGAGGAGCTCTTCACTTCCGGCTACATCCGCGATGCCGACGTCGACCGCGACGGCATCCTCGCGAGCTTCGGCCCGGCGGCCGGGAGTTTCCAGGACTGCCCCATGCAGAGGCGCGTCTGGTTCTCTCAGGGGTTCGGAGGGTTTAGGGTCAAGGGGGTTTAGGGTTTTAGGGTTTAGGGTTTAGGGTTTTAGGGTTTAGGGTTTAGTATCAAACTACAGGAAAACACAGCCGGTGCGCGCCTTGGCGCCGCAAGCTTTTCGCACGCTTGACCACAGATGCCTTCGGTCGCTCTTCGCCTGCCGGAAAGTAATCGGGAGGGGCTTCCAGGTGGAGCAACTGACAACAGTTAGTGCAACTCGTCGCAAACATAATCAGAAAGGAAATGCACAGTGCGCTCAATGCCACTACTCACTTTGTGCTCCACACTGGTTACCTCTTCTCCTTCTTTCAAAACGTTGGCTCGAGACTGCTCACCGACCTCTATGGCCACAGTGAGTCTGGAGCACATCATGTCCCACCAATCGTGGGGGTCTTTTGGCTTAGTGAGAACGTCGGCTAGCTGGAGTGCGCTCGGGACCCATGCCATCGGGAGCTTGGGGTACCAGCGTTCCCACCGGAGACCTTGACGGAGAGCGGCCAGGTCGATGGCTAGTCTTCTGTCGCTTGCCACGCGAGGTAGTCCTTCTTTGTGAATGTGATCATAGAGTGAGCGACAATCGCTCAGGCATAGCAAAGGTGTCGTAGCGCACTCGACCTTCACTAACTCGCCCTTGATCACGGTTTCAAAGAAAGATCTCATGTACTGGGCGGCTTCCAACCCTTCCACGCTGGCTTGTGTCTCCGCTCCAAATGTGCTTCGACACACCCTTTGTCCTGCACGGGACTTCCAATCGCTCACCGACATGTTCCCTCTGCCGCCTCGAACGGACTCGATGTCGGCGATGAGGACGAGGGCGCCGATCTGGGAGGCGACCTTGGAGTTGATGCGCTTGGCCTTGCGCTCTTTCTTGCTGTACGGACCTTCAAGTTGGAGGCCTGCTCGGTAGTCCTCCTCGGTCAACTCGAAGCCCGGCTCGTTCTCCTCCAACACGTTGGCCCACGCGGCGTCGTGGTACACCATGAACACGGCCTTGCTGGGGTCGATGCCTCGGAAGACGAGGCCGTGGTGCTTGTAGGACATCGCCCGGCTGGCCACCACGTTGCTGAACTTCACGTCTCCGTAGGTAGGTGACTTCTGTAGTTGTTGCGAAATGCTAACACTACAGGTGAGGTCGGGTCGTGTTTGAGCTGAGAGCCAGGACAGCGCTCCGATGAGGCTCTTGTTATCCGCGGCCGTCTCTGGGTCGGCCAAGTCTTCTTCGCAAACTCCACGGGGGATGTCGATGGTGAACAGCCTCGTCTCCACGTACTTGGACTTGGTCTGGCTGACCTTCACCTCTCCATTCTCTACCACGATCTCGGACCCGATATAGTCCAGTCTGTTCACTTCCCATTTGTCAATGGGAAACGTTCTGGACAGCGCGTCCTTGATCAGGTCGCTGACAGACTTGGCGACGACGACCAGGATGTCGTCGACGTGTGTGCCCAGGTAGCCGATGGGCTTCCCGTGAAACTTGCCATTGTCGTATTCCCGGAGCATGAAGATGCACGGATCCAAAGGACATTGGTCCCACCCGTAGGTCCTTCCATTGTAGGTGATCGGGGTCCGCTTGATTCCCTTCTGGAGGTCCTCCCACCATTCGTGAGGGGAAGTGGCTAGCCCGAAGATGTTCTTCTTGATCTTCACGAGTTGTTGTGGTAGAAGTCCAGGGAAACCAGTGGTCGGTTGGTGGAGGTAGAGGGGTTCGTCTCTGTTGAGGTACCCTCCGGTGAGGAAAGCACATTGGATATCTCCAGCAGCAACTTCCCAAACATCTTGTGCGTGTTGCCCATTCGCAAGAAGTTGCATAAGACACATGAACCCGGGTCTGGACAAGGTCGGGGCGTCCGTCGTCAAGTCCTTCTCCACGAGATCTGGGTCTAGGTGTCCGCCTATGATGAGGCGGCTTTTGCATCGCCACTCTGGGTCGTTGCCGGCTTGGCGAGCGGCCCAGTTTTTGTCCTTGTAGGCCCACCGCGACCTGAGGATACGCGATGGGGGAACCGTCGCTCGCACTCGGTCGCTTTCTTCGACCGACATGGCCTCCAGCGCGTCATAGTCGACGTGCTCCAGCCATTGTTTCCGCTCGGCTTCTTTGAAGAGGTCGGGCTTCTTCTGGAATTTCTCGCCACAATACTTCCTTCTCTTGGCGCTTGGCGTGACCTCGCTTTGTAAGATCTCGCTTCAGCATCATAACCTCATCTCCTCCTCGGTCTTTCTGCTCAACACGGGTTTTGCGCTTGAGTCTCTTCGAAGGCGGCGCAGGAGGAACGAGGTCGGGCATTGGCGTGTCCGATTGTTGTCCGTCATCAGGTAGTACACCTTCCAGGGTGATCCCGTTGTCGTAGTCGGACGGCTCATAGTCGGAAAGGTGGTCGCTGTAGTCCTCGTTGTCGGGCGCGGCCTTCTTCGTAACGTCCTCCTCGGGCTCGTCGTTGCTGAACACGTCGGGGTCGTCTATGTCCTCCGCGAGTAGCTTTTCAACCTCCCGCTTGACCCCCTTCATGGTGAGGAACTCGCCAATTTCTTCGGGTCCCGAAGCTCGGACATGCTCGGGTGCAGTCAGTCTGCACTTCCCATTCCGGGAGATCCAGTAGCTCCCTCCTTGTTTTCCGACCACAACTCCAGGACCGAGCCATCGAGCTCTTCTTCCTGATCCCAACAGTGAACAGGGTCTCCGATGTCAAAGTCGCGTTGAGCTGGGCGGGCACGTTGAAGGAGGGCTCTCCGGAGTCGATCGTCGCCTTGAGCTTTGTGGAAAGCAACCCGGGCACTGGCTCTTATGGCAGTAGCTCGCTGGAACTGCGAGTCTCTCGTGAGGTCCCAGCTGACGGCCTCCCCGGAGTCCAGGTCATTGAGCTCGGGCGGTAGTCGGGGTGATTTCCCGAACACCCATTGCGATGGTGAGTGTCCACACAGTCTGCGAAGATCATTCTTGGCCGCACACACCAAAGCACCGGCCAGCTCCACCTCATCCTCGGCCACGCTGAGCTCTTGTACGACTCGATCCCAAATGCCCTTGAACCACCCACCTTGTCTCTCGGTCACTCCGGCTTGCCAATGGGCCTGAGCAGCCACATCTTTGACACGAATGGTGTGCCAATCGCACAATCTGCTCATGCCGCTCTGTTTTTTAGGGTCCAGGTCGAGCGACACCATTGTAGGGGGCCCGAATGGTCCCAACCACATCTTGTTGAAAGCCTTTTCCACATCCTCGGCCGACTCGCTCTCCACTCGGCAAACGACATGGTAGGTGGTCGCCCAGTCCACCATGGATAGAAAGGTGTGGCACTTGTCGTTGATGTCGTGTACGTAGAAGAGGTCAACGCCAACGCAAGTGTTGAAATCGAGCAGCCGGGGTAGAGTCGTGGGCCTTGCAATCTGCGGTCCACGCGTAGTATCACACGTGGTGCACTTCATCCCTTTGACGGCTTTCAAAATGTGAGGTTCACAGCCCGCTAACGTGAGATGTCGTAGTAGGTCCTCCTTCCTCGGGTGTCCGAGGTTCTGGTGTAGTCGTCGTAGTGAGCTCTGCACATGAGCTGCCACCTCCTTGTCAAAGGTGATCCCGGACCCGTCCAGCTTGTGAGGCTCCTTTGGTCGATCTTCGGCATGAACCGCGTGTACTTCGTGAGGTCGTAGTCCATGTGGTCCTTGAAGCGGCTTCTGTCCCTTTAAATTTTGGCCTTCCGGAGGATCATCCAACTGTCTTCGTCTCCACTCGTAAAGAAGCTCACATCCTCCTTGAAGTCGTCGGTGAGGTTGCCGGGTACCTCGCCTCGTAGCACCACTTCCCCGCCTTCGTCAAGTTGGGTACGTATCAGTTCTTTTGTGAAAGAGAAACAGCTGGCGGGCATGTCACGGAGGTGAATTCGAAGCTCCTTTGGGGAAGCTCCGATGACAAAGTGGTGCGCGGTCTCCTGCAGGTCGGAATCCTTGAGGTCGTCCCAGCTCATTGGCTCCAGCACGGCCTTGTCGAGCTCAGTCGCCTCAACCGTCCCTTCGTAGCCGCCGATCTCCATCATAACGATTGGATTCGGAGCCGGTGGGGGTCCACAGATCTCAGTCATGTAGGAGTTCGCCGCGACAATGAGGGTGGTCATCAAGACGCCAATCTTCCCAGCAGCATTGGTGATTGAGCTCCGGACACTCTTCTTCGGGAACTTGCTTCGCTCGCTGCTAGCGGTGTGCTTCTTTCTGTGGGTGCTGGGGAAGCCGCTGTTCCGGATGAACTTGTCCATCACCTCGGAGATCTCGTCCGCTCCTCGCACTGTATGGTACACGAGACCCCATCGGTCGCCTTCCCAGGGCTTGGACGCGTGCCTCAGGAAGGGGTCGAAGGTAACGAAGTTCTCGCGGGTATCGAAGCATTGTCCAGGAGTCCAAGCGCCTGACTTATCGAGCTTCCACTCGATCTCATTCAGCTTCGCTTCGTTCTCGGTGAGTCCAGGGCTTTCAATCCACAACTCTCCACCGCCATCTTGTCCAAGGGTGATGCAGTGGTTGTTGCTTCCACGCATGTTGTGGGAGTCCCGGTGGACCGTGGAGGCTATGTTCTTGGTGACGGAGATGGAGCTCCACTTGCAGCCTCTCTGAAGGTGATGGCGAGCGAAGCCGTTGAGGTAGCGGGCCAGGCTCCCGTACTCCTTGGTCGCAGTTGTGATCCCTCGAACCCCACCGTGCACAAAGACACCCAACGTCACGTAGGCGGTGTCCTGGTCGTTCTCGGCCGGGTCGTTCATGGCTCGTAGAGCTCGTCGGGGAAGCCTCGCCGCATCCAGCACTTGTTGACAGCGAGCATAGGTGAAGTCGCCCTCTTTATAAGCGATGCGTGCAGCACTTTCACCTTCTCCTCCACACAGGTCGGTCTGGGGTTCGTGGTGCGTGTTGGCGTAGACGTCCTCAACCTGTGAGTAGGCTCGGGAGGAAGCCTCGTCGGTGATGATCTCCTGCTCGTAGATTTCTGCACAGCATCGCCCCCCATCGGTACAAGCCAGGCGTTGGGGGAGTACGCCGGCCCTTTCTTCATAGCTCACTGATTGCTGCTCTTGGCCTTGTCCTTCAACAGGGCCAACCTCGTCTGGAGCACCTGGATCTCCTCGAGCACCGCCGGGTCGATCTCGCTCTCCATGGGCTTGTCCTCGGTCTCCTGGGGGCGCTTGGTCGTCTTGGCGTTGCCCTTCCCGCGCCCGATCTTTGTGGAGGGAACCGACACCGCTTCCCACGATCCTGCCGCCGAGCTCCCCGAAGTGTGCGCGCCGGTCCTCTTGGGTGGCGTGCTCGGGTCCATCTCCAATGCGAACGGAGGGATACGAGGCCTTTGGTCTTGGGTACGGGATGTAGTCGAGCTCTCCGGATAGCCTCGCCAACGGTGTAGGTCCTCGCTCTCTCTCGGGGATTGTGGTAGCGGGACTTCCATGGCCTCGCGCGCGTAGTTCTGCATCTGCTCGAGGGCCCTGTTCTTGTGCCACCACTTCGCGAACCTGACCAAGTCGTCGCTCGAATTGCTGTTCCCGTTCACCTCGTGCACCGCCCAGCGTCCGTAGGCGTCCGGTACTTCCTGATACTCCTTGCCGCGGTGCTTCCCGAAGGTGATGAGCTCGTTCCCCGGCGTATTCACCGAGTCCCGAATGAGCCTCAAGAGGTTTCCCTTCGTGATGTTGCTGGGGAACTCCACCTTGAGCTCGGTGGCCTTCGCCTTCAACTCCGGCATCGTCAGGGAAGAGAGTCCTCGCATCGCAACTTTGTCGTCCTGCATCGTTTTGGACTCCCGGTGCTCGCGAATGATCGCACGAAGCTCTTCCACCGTCCAGCTCGTGTGCACCACCAGCCCCAACCTTGAGCTCTCGGCCAGGAGTTGGGTCTTCGTCATCTTGCTGATCGGCGGCGGTGGTCCCTGGCATGGCTCGGAGCTCATCGCTCGCAAGGGCAGGATCAGGAACAGGTTCTCGGGCCTTCTTATAAAAGACAGTTCTTCCAGCCCAAAGTTGCGGATGTGCTGGTTGCTCAAAGACACCGTCCTTCCAGTGATCTAGAATCGGCTCTATCCACTTGCCGGAAGTGCAGCACACACTCTCAGTCACTCGTGTGGACCCAATCGAAGCAAGCAGCATGTCCCTTTGCAGCGTGGCTGAGGTTCTCCAGGTTGATGGGTTAAACAGCCCTTTTCGAGGTACAACATGAACTCTAATCCAAGTAGCGGGGGTCTCTAGCCAGAAGTCACGATCCACTGTAGTACTTTTCCACCACACAAAGAAAGGATCTTGAGCGAGGCTGTCTTCACTGAGGAGGTTTGTGATGGTTGGGTCGAGCTTCTTGGGCTGATAGATTCCTGTGTGCTGGGATCTGTTGGGGCCTTGGTGTGCAAGTCCAAACACATCCATGTATGCTTCACGCGGCTCGAGTCGGAGGTCATCGATCTGGAGGGTGCAAGTCCCTCCAGCGCCAGCCTTTGCGGGCACAATGGGAATCGCCGGGTGACCGCTTGGCGTCGTGAGCAACATGTAGTCAGTAAGTCCGACTTTGTTGAAATCGGCTTTGCCTTTCTCAACATCGAAAACCATCCCGAGCTTCACGAGCACTGTTTTGGAAAGCCAGAGGGGAACATCACCTGTGATTATACTCGTGCGAACCTTCGCGATCTTGTTCCCAAGCTCAAAGCACACCACGATGTAGAAGGAGGACACATGCACTTTGCCGGTGCCGAAGCGGTACGCCTCATTCTCCTTGTGAAGCGCTGGTCGTTCTCCTTGGTCGGCAAGAAGATCTGTGTAGGATTGCAGCCATTGCGTCCCAGCCACTGTTCGGGCACAGGCCGTGTCCGTCACGGCCATGAGCGAGTGGCCCTCATGCTTCAGAGCGCAGATACTGGCAGGCAAGACCGTAGTCATGGCGACCTCCCTGGCGGGGTCCTTTCCTCCACGGCCTTGCCCTCCACCATCGTTGCCACCGCCGGCCTTGGTGCCCGCGGTAGTGCCCTGATTGTTGGGGCACTCCGGGTCCTTGTGCCAGTGACCTCTTCGTCCACATCCGCTGCAGAACGACTTCAACTTCATCTGCTTCAACGTAGGCTCGCCTCCATGATCTCGTGACCGCTCTCCATCGCCTTGGTAGCCTCGGTTGCGCTGCTGAGCCTTGTACTTGTCCTTCACGCTGCGAAATGTCATCCACGCCTGGGCAACTTCTTCGGGAATCCCTTCATCTCCATCAGTGAGGTTGCCGGTCTCGTCGTCGGGGCCGTCGTGGTCAACCTCATCGGTCATGTTGGCATAGTTCGTGCGACGACCCTTGGCAGCATTGGACTCCCAAGGCTTCCTGTGCCCCCGGTCGTGGAGCACTGCCGCCTGCTGGAGCCTCAGTAAATCATACTTGTTCCCGACGCTGGCAAGCAGATTAAGTTCTTGAGGCTCTTCTAGTTGTAGGCGGTCGAGATATACCCAAGCAGCACATTCTTCAGGTAGACAACATCCTACTTCTCGAAGACACCCATAGAGCCGGTCATATTCTGTATTGTATTCACGCACAGTTTGCCCTTGCCGTCTCCGAAGTCGTCTAAAGAAATCGCTAAGCGCCCGCCCAATCCTGGTGATCTCTAAATCAAGGAAGCGGGCCGTGGACTCCAGGTAGTGCACGCCGTTGTCTGCACCAAGCTTGCTGAGGCTAAGTTCCTCAGCTGCGATCCAGGCTTTTCCTGAGAGATTCTGGTACAGCACCAGGCCTTGCTTCGAAGGATGTAGCATGGTCATGCGCTTCCATGCATCCACCTGACGAAGATAAGATCTAGCGGAAGTCCCCAGATCTTCAGAATCTTCAGCACTAAAGCTCGGAACTTGCAGCTTTTCGGAGGTCCTGGCTCCTGGAGGTCCTTGATTATGTCCTTTTCGATCACCGGAGACGAAGCTGGAATCCCATCCGCGCCAACCGGTGTGGTTGCCCGCATCACGTCCTGCATCCCAGCCTTGGTTGTCTTTGGGATCCCACTTTCCATCATCGCCACTGAACTTAGGAAGTAGGCGTTCCGAATCGTTCCATCGGGGAGGGTCGTCTCGACCATCCGCCCAGCGGTCATCTCGATCTTCCGCATAATCGTCACGTCGTGCCCATTGGTCTCGACCATCTGCCTCGGGAGCTCCGTGGCGGTGCCCTCGAAGTTCTCGGTCACGTCGGCCGTCACGGTCTTCGCGGTCGTAACGCTGTTGCCAGCCGTGCCCATGACGCCCCCAATGGACATCTCCACTGCCGTGCCAACCTCCGCTCCATGGGTCTTGCCCGTCGTCCCATGGATCTCCACCGTGGTCACTTCGCCGGCGGTCGCGGTTGGACGCCGGGGTAGCTGTGCTCGATGCCCCCCAGCTCTGCCGGCGATCGCGATCGCCCTGTGCTTCCGTAGCTTCTCTTTGGCCGTCGTGCTGGTCACCACTGTTCCCCCAGTGGGGACCGCTGCGGCCGCCCCTGTGACTCCGATGGGAGTCATCCCACTCACGCCGAGTGGAGTCGTCTGTCTGTGTTCGTCTGTCACCAGACTGGTGACCGGATCCCACTTCTGAAGTACTGGAGCCGTTGTCGGCAGAACCACTGTTGTTTCTGAAGGCCGGCGTCGGAGGAACAGCCGGCGCATCATGAGACTCAAAGCCGGGGGAGCCCCCACATCATCGCCGTCCATGGCACAGACAAACTAACTACAGCGGTCCTAGGAGCCCGGAGGCTCCGCTACCAGTATCAAACTACAGGAAAACACAGCCGGTGCGCGCCTTGGCGCCGCAAGCTTTTCGCACGCTTGACCACAGATGCCTTCGGTCGTAGCTCTTCGCCTGCCGGAAAGTAATCGGGAGGGGCTTCCAGGTGGAGCAACTGACAACAGTTAGTGCAACTCGTCGCAAACATAATCAGAAAGGAAATGCACAGTGCGCTCAATGCCACTACTCACTTTGTGCTCCACATTTAGGGTTTAGGGTTAAGGGGGTTTGGAGGGTTTCTGTGAGGGTTTAGGGTTGTACAGGGTTTCTGCGAGGGTTCTGTGGGTGAGGATTTAGGGTTGTATAGGTTTTTTAAAGGTTGAAGCATGCTGGATGGTTTGTGTTCAGGGGTCAGCTCTCTTAAAGGCAACTGTACGGCTCGTATATAAGGTTATGAAAAGAGCCGGTTGCATAGGGTTTAGGCTTGCGGGTTTAGGGTTTGGGGGTTTTCAGGTTCAGGCGGTTTTGGTCTTGCAAGGTGCCTGAACGCCGGGCATCCAAGAGATTTTCGGTTTGACAATGTTCATGTGGTGGTTTGTGGCTTCTTTTCTTCCGCTGGGTTTCGGAAACACCAAGTGTATGTACGAAGTGGACATAGGCTAGGCTTCCTTGCCCACATCGGGGGCCAGGATCTCGAAGAAAGGTCCCCTGAGGTGATATATGAACAATGGACACTGTTTATGCAGCCATTGCATTGTAAAGTGAGAAGTTGCATGCTGTGGTATCCTCCAGCACTGTCTTGCCTTGTTGCCTGGTTCTCCTGGTTTCGTAGTCTCAGCTTGTTTTGTCTCGTTTTGTGGCAAGGTTCAATGCGTTCGCAAGGGGGCACCCTTGTGCTGATGTGAACAAGGGACTTGTGGTGAAACCTGGATCTGTGGCCAGAGTCAAGACAGTACTTCTAGGAGGCCCAAGGGCGCCTAACTGTGCCTTGAGTCGGACTCGTAGTCATACCCGCTCGATGCTAGTGACAGGCAGGCACCACGTACCCTAAACCCTACACCCCTGAACCCGAAACCCCGCAACCTCTGAACCCTAAACCCAAACCCCCAAGCCCATCAGCAAGGGATTGTCCATCTTGTCGAGGCCTGGCTTCAACATCGAGTGCAACGATGGCAACAAGGCTCGTTGGGGCTTCTGCCTCAACTGCGCCAGCCAGGGTTGCCAGAACTCCGACAGCAACGATGCCGACGCAGCCATCGGCGTCGGACTCGCAGGACAGGCCACGGACACCGAGCTGGGAGGAGGTTGGACGGCGTGCCGTGGCTGCAACGTACATGCTGTCCATGCATTGCAGCTGCGGCACGGTAGAGCATGAACTAGACTCGACTGCCGGAAGCTGCACAGGTACTTCGCCTCCGGTAAAGGCACGTGCAGCGCCAACAGCAAGACCTTCAAGTCTGCCTGGATCTGGGTCAGCTCTGGCAAGACTCTCGGCCCTGCGTTGGAACGGGATTTCAAGGGAAGCCTTTCAGCGTAGCTTAAGACACTGAGCCCCCAAGCCTGAAGACTCCAAGAAAGCCAAGGACCTCCACACCGGCGCAAGACGTGGCCCTCGCCGGAGATTTCGCCGCCTTTTCCCATGGCGACACGGACAAGTTCCTCAAAGAGTGCAGCGCGGCTTTGGCACCGGCGAAGTGCTTGAAGGTGACTCCGGCTTAAGGTTTAGGGTTTAGGGTCTTGGCCTTTTCTGGGCTCCCTGAACCCTCAGTCAGAACTAAGGCCGTACTAGTAGCCCCAAACAGCATCCCACAAAATCGAATGGGCGTGGGCTTGGAGTTGAGTGTTAGGTGCATTCCAATGTAACTTGGCACCCAACAAGATTAGCTTTGCAACTTCCTTCCCCTACACGTGTCTTATGGGTGCTACACGTACAGGTTTCGAAGGCTTTGTCCCGCTTTTTTGTTTGTTTCGTCAGGGTGTGGGGATTGGGCAGTCGCTCCACTCTCAAGGTCGTGCCCCGTGCGCTGAAATTCCTCGTCACCGTGACTGCTCCGGATGACACGACCCTCGAGGGAACGGTGAGCAAGGCCGCCAGCTGTGCGTTGCGACCCGGAGCACGCGACTTGAAATCTTCATTGCGAGCTGCTACAAATCTGTATGCAATCAAAAGCAGCCGACACACCTGTAGATCCTGGATCACGGATCAAAGTTTGGGTACAATGCACCGTTGCTTGTTCTTCTGTTTCAGTGTAATCGCATGATATCGGTCCAACCATTTCATCCACAGTGTTGAGGTTTTTCCGGATGATGGACCCTGAGCCCAGAGTCTAAACCCTCGCCCTATGCCCTGAAAAATACTCCAGCCCTGACCTTAGACCTCCAGATTAGGAGATTCCGAAAATGTGGGGGGCCTTATTTTGGGGTCCGTGTAATGCGGATCCTACTATTTGGGGTACGTACTGTATTAGGGTCCCCTGTTTTCGGAAACTCCCAGATAAAGATGGCTTACTAAGGCCCCTATATTATAGACCCCTCCTAAAAGGAACCCTATTCTAGTTATTAAGGCCCCTACCTAGACCTGATTAAAAAACCCTAATATGGAATGTTATAGGGACCCTACAAAAAGTAGGTTCTGGTAGGTTAAGGTATATATTAGAAGGGGCCCCCACCCTGTAATAGTGGTATAATAGGACTATGACAGGGCCCGGATATGGTCACTATTACAGGGTGGGGGCCCATTCTAACGTATACTCCCATATTGCTGAACCCTAAACCCTTTATAGGACCCTTATAGATCCCTTAAGGGAGCCCTTAAAGGGTCCCCCAATTTAGGAGGTATATATTCGATCAAGATTGCAGCCCGGAGGTCTTCAATGCAGGCGTCGACATGAAAACGCTTGGACACCTCGAGCCAGAGCTGGTGGAGTGCGAGGCGCCTGGTTCCCCAAGTGCCTGGGGCTTTAGGGTTTAGGGCCTTTTAACGGGATCCAAAAGAGTTTAGGCTTTAGGGTTTTGGGTTTAGGGTTGCACCCAGAGACTCCAATATCCCTTAATTCGCGAATATACCTTAAATCATATTAAGGAGGGATCCTACTATAACTTAAGGTATATTCCTGAATTAAGGGATATTGGAGTCTCTGGGTGCACCTCTTCGAAGCTTCATTTAAATTTGATGGCACCAGGAGAAGCACTCGAAAATTCCAGAAATGACCATTAGCCATTAGCCAGGGACGATTGAATAAGCACAGCCCGAACTCCAAAAGACGTTGCCGTGAAACCCATCCCAGCCCTCAACCCTTGATGAAGGAATGCCTTCTAAATTTTGCAAAAATCCTAAACCCTTCACACTACACTACACCCTAAGGCCTACACCCTAAACCCTACAGGACTAACCTACCTGTTTAAGGACTTATATAAGGAAATCGTAATAAGGAAACCTAAAAAGGTAGGTTATTCAGAGTTAAGGTAAAGCCTAAACCCTAAACCCCTAAACCCTAAACCCTAGACCCTAAACCCCAAGCCCTAAAGCCCAAACCCGACATCCCGGAGGGCAGCTTAGCCACCGGAGGCGGCGCCGACCACTGGCGTCTTGGCACAAGGGGCTTGGGGGGCCTCCGGTTCTTTCAACGACCTCTGCGAATTTTTGCTGCAAGCTTCCTAAACCCACAGCAGCCGTAACAACATATACATATACGTATATATATATATATATACATATATTTACGCACATAGATATATAAATATATAGATTTTGACATCAATTAAACAGCCTGCAGCGACTGAGGGCTTGCGACGGCCAGCCTCTGGACAAGTGTGACGCGACCTACACGCAGACGCGCTCGGGCGAGTACTACCAGTGCGGGGTCGTCTGGCAGATCTAGGGCTGCGTGCTTAGGGTTTAGGGTTTAGGATTTAGGGTTTAGGATGTAGGGTTTAGGGCGTAGGGTTTTAGGGTTTAGGGTTTAGGGCGTAGGGATGCCGTAGGGTTTGGGCGTTTGGGTTCAAGACTTGTGGGTCGGAGGAGGTCGCCATGCTCCTGTCCATCCGGAGATTTTCTTAGGCCCTTGTACAACGAACCACATAGTATCGGGAGCCCTTAAAGTCACTTAGGGGTCCGTATAACAAGGACCCTACTATGTAAGGGTACCTTATGAGGGATATTAGGGTCACTATTTTCGGAAACTCCCCGAGAAGCAACTTTGACCTGAGCCTTGGAACGATATTCAGGGAACCTTGACAGGAATCCTTAGAAGGAGTCCTGGAAGGAATCCATAAAGACACCTTCGCAGGAAACATGTGCTATTCGAACCCTTCAAGGAACTGTTTAAAGGAACTTTGACAGGAGCCCTTTCAAGGACACCCAAAGGGAAGCTTTCAAGCAATGTTTAGTTCTTATCCTAAACCCAAAACCCCAAAGCTTAAGACGCTGGCAGCTATTTTTGAAGGAACTCTTACAGGAACCCTTTCAAGGAATCCTTGCAGGAACCCTTACAGACACCCACAGGGGAAGCTTTCAAACAACTCCTACCCTAAAACCCTAAACATCCTCGAGAGGTCAGCGGGCTGAATTGCTTGGGTACCGGCCCTGCCTGCACTGCGCCGCGATGAGTACGCCCACTCGACGCTTCATGGCGTACGTCTTAACCAGGGTCATCAAGGACCCTATAGTCCCAGTCGGGGATGGTGTCACCATTCTTGTGACTATGGTCGTAAGTTCGAGGACCATTGCAATTATGACCGTTCTGATAGTCTTATCATCGCTGACCCTAAACCCTGAACCCTAAACCCCTAAACCCTAAACCCCTAAACCCTAAACCCTAAACCTGTAGCTTCGCACCTCAATCCTCGAACACTTGGAAGTGCGCAGTGGCCCAAGTGACTCCTGGAGAGTGCCCTGTGCCGCGAAAGAGAGCGTCGAGTTCGGGGCTCGGGCTTAGGGTTTGGGGCTCAGGGCTTACCTGTGGCCCAAAAGACCTACCTTTTTAAGGAGCTATATATAGAAATCATAATAAGGAGCCCTTAAAAAGGTAGGTCTTTTGGGCTACAGGTAGGGTTTAGGGGATCTAGGGTTCTGTAGGGTTTGACAGCTTTTGTAGGTTCTGGGTCTTGCGGGTTTGGCCTGGCCTTGGAGGTTTTCCGGTTCAGGCTTCGGGTGCGGGCTTCAGCGTCTGTAAGCCCTGAAGCAAACGCTAACCGCCGAATAAACCCTAAACCCCGAACTTAAACTCTACACCCTCAACCCGGAAAAGAAGCAAACTCAGACCCCGAACGCTCTACTGATGGGCTTTGGGATTTCGGGTCTGGGTGCTTGTGTCTATGGAGCCGAAAGGCTCATTGGCAGCGGTATATGATTACCATGATGAGAGGTTTAGGGTTTGGGGTTTGGGTTTAGGGTTTAGGGGTTAATCTGGAGCTCTGGGCACTACTTAAAGGAGCAGGAGCTTTGTAAGTGCGAATTTAAGATGCCCACCGCCGTTACTAAACCCTGAACCGATGAAGGCAGTTAGAACATCCTTGTCTATTTTGTGCGCGGGGCCTCTACGTGCATCCAAACCTTGACCCAGACAGGGACGCAGGACTTCTATGCAACTGTTTGGAGGTTTTCATTGGGGGTTTTCACCCGGGTTTTGGGCTGAGAAACTAGAACCAGTCTGCATCTCCGCCGCAGCCAAAAATGTCTCGGACACTCACGGCGGATACGGGGCAACGCGACCAGCCTCGGCACAGGCGCGTGTTCTGGGATCGCTTGGTTTAGGATTGAGACTTTAGGGTTTAGCCATGTGGGGTACCTGTGGAAATCATCCAAAGGCTTCTATGACGTGGCAGCGGGGGTGGTGATATTGGGAGTGTTTGTGTAAATCTCAGTCATAAAGCTCACCGCAGCAGAGGCGCAGCAAGATCATTAGGAATAGTCACGGATCGCTTTTGCGTTTGGGGTTCCTGATTCCCCAAGTGCGATATGTACGGCAGCAGACGGTTAACAATGCACCTTGACGCCACGAGAATCCTTCTCAAGGTGCACGTGGCAGCATGCGGTCTGGCTGCTTCGCCAACATGCCTCCACCCCAGCAACTTATCTGTCATCAGATGAGTGTCTCAGACTCTCAGGCCCTGAAGCATAGGGGCCTTAATAATTACCTATACCAGTCTGAGAGGCCCCTTACCGCAAAACCCTGTTCTACTCAGTAAGGTGCCTGTAGTAGATCCTCGGAGCATCTGCAAGGGTTCGGGATTGATCTTGGCGTTTCGCAGAGTAGGGCGTGAGTGCGGTCTTGTGAAAGGCTATATGCTTCTTGTGGAGCATACCTGCTTTGACTAAGACAGGGAGGACCCAGCACAGCTTCCGTAGGGCTCTCATGCTAAAGGCTGCTGAGAAGGGACGCTTACATTCAAGCAAAGACGACAAAAGGCCTTTGAGCTTTGGCCGTTTGGTGGCTGCTGAGGCTGATGCTTCGCAGTACAGCTCTGCTGTCAACGTCTGCAGCAAGGATGGGTGTAGGGGGTTGGGATGTGGGGAGTTCGGGTTTTGGCCCTGCGGCCCTCAACGAGCTTGGGCTTGAGGAGCAGTTTTCGATAGATGCCGGCTTTAGACGAGCTTAGCAGGACCTCCAGAGTTCAAAGCGGCGTACAAGCACCAGTCAAATTCATAATTGTAAGTACTCGGCTTCAACAGTGTTTGAAGCCATAATCATTTTCCCGACCCTGTACCCCAATGCACGACGCGAGTGCCAAACCCGTGGCCGTTGCGAACTAAGGCATCTTGTTGGCAACAGGCTCTCTTGGTCTTCAGCGAGATGTCGCAGCGCGGACTCCAGCTCACAACAGCCACAAGCCCGCAAATTTTCTGCACTTGCGGTTCATGTCCTCGCTTCGCTCGGAAGAGTTTCGTTGCCATTCTACATGCAAGGGTGTGATATCCAGTAGACCTAAAGCCTTTGATGCTCAGATATGGTGAGTCCGAAGCGCACAAAGGTGACCTACAATGCGACCATCGATGCCTGCGGCAGGGCCAAGCGGTGGCAAGCGGCTGTCTCGCTGTTTGCAGCTCTCCAGTGCGGCAAGGTTCAGGCTCCGGCAGTGCGCGTGAATTTGGAGTTCGGCCACGCAACAACCCTAGAAGTAGGCTCCAGTTTGATGACTTCTGTCCTACGCCCAAGAGTGCAACCAAGAGCCCGAAGCCTGAAAGACCTATGGCTTCTCAGAGACTCGACTAGACAGGTCCAGGCAAGCGTTTTTCACAGCATCTTCTCTTAATCGAACACTACTGCCAACGAAATATCAGCTGCTGAGGATCCTGTCACAGCCGTCTAGAAACGGGCCCAACACTTCCTGGACACCCAACAGCCCCAAAAAGCGAACTGAGAGTTCCCAAAGCCCGTAAACTTTCAACACATCCTCAAGATCTTAGAACAAGAAGACAGGCACCAAAAGGTGCCAAAGCCCTGGAAGCCCCCTCCCCAACGAACGCGCTCTGGCGGAGTTCCTGATAGGCCAGCATCGTCTCTTACAGCACTCTGGTGAGCGCCTGTGGGCGTGCGGGCGCATGGGGGGTGGCGCTCGGCATCTTGGAGGAGAGCAATCTTTTCTCTCGGAGCCTCGAGGGTGTTCATGGGGTGTTTGGATTTCGGGGTTTGGGCTCAGGGCCTTTGCTACTTTGCTCTGCTTGCCTCAACTTGATACGGACGGAAAGACCAGGCCTAATTGTCTGTAGTTAAACCTTTAGGCGCTTTGGGAACTTCTGGAACGGCCACTCCCACCTGAGATAGCCTGCATGTCCTTCCGGAAGGGAAGTTGCGGAGAGCCTTCGGCTGACTTGAATCCGAAGCTCCACATATCCATGTAGGGGCCTGAATCAATAGAATTCCTTTAAGGGTTCCTGTAAAGGGGTCCAGAACGGTTTAGGGTTTAGGGTTGAAGCATCGCCATGCCGAAACCCCAAAGCCTGAATCCTGAATCCAAAGCCTTCAACATCGAAACAGCTCTAACCTCTCAACCACATCCCAAGCCTGCAAAAGCTCCGAAAGCCCAAAACACCGCCACCCCCGCTAACACCCCAAAATCCTGGACTCCAAACACCAAGCGTTTAAAATCGTAAACCCTACCGTGACCCTAAGGAACCTACCCATTTAGGGCCCCCTAGTATGATTTCCTTATATAAGTCCCTAAAAAGGTAGGTTATATGGGGTCAAGGTAGACCCCAAACCCAACCCCACAGTCAGCAGCTCCGACAACTCGTGGAGGAGGCAGAGACCTCATCGACGGCCCCGAATGCCACCGGCCTGCTTAGCTCTGGACATTGGTTTTTGAGCGAGCCTTGAAGGTAAGGTAGGGTACTTTCAGGGTTAAGGGTGTATTCTGGGTTACCAGCGGACATGGGGATTCCTGTAGGACGGGCGCCGTGTTGACTGCGCACTCCACATTTTAGACGTCTGCACTCATCAGGTGATTACCTACAATGCGGCAGCCAGCGCTCTTGAGAAGGCTGCCCGTGGGTGTGTTTGGATTTTCTGCGGGGCGAGAGCAAGCTGGGCCAACGTCGAGAAATCAGGGTCCTTCTCTGAGGGTGTGCATTTGCAGATTGCCCACCACGATTCAACCCGAGGCCTGAGGGCTTAGTTCCACCACAATCTGTGCCTGAAGCCTTATTCTGCTCGGCATGGCGCCTCTAGCTCATTCCACCTTGAAGCCATGGCCGTGGTTGTGCCGGAGGGCTACGAGCCTCTCGTCGCTTGGAAGCTCTGCCCCCCTGGAGGGATCCTTCTTCAGCTCGGCTTGTACATCTTTGCGGCCTCGAGCGCAATGAGAATTGTCTTTGCTTTTGGTCGAAGAGCCTATGCGTAGTGTTTTGTTTACTGTTGAAGTTGTCTCCGCAAATGGGGACTGCCTGATCAAGTTCATGGGTTCAGTTACTCTCCGTTGTTTCGGTGTCCGCTCGATCTGTGAGCATTTTCAGGACATGCTTAACGATGTGCTGCAGATCCTGACGTTCATCCTGCACGGGGACTTCGGGTTCGCGTTGTTCATGGTGTTTTTCGTGGGCCTTAACGGCTACACGACAGTCAAGGAAGTTGCGAGACTCAGCACCTTGAAGCGGTTCGACCTTCTTGGTGAAGCCAAGCTATGCCTTGCACGCAAAGTGCCTACGAGGGCTTGGATTTCAATGCACGTTTTTGAGCGGACCATCGAAGCACCGAGCACGGGCCTCATCGGCCCCTACGGCGCTTCGCTGCTCCAGCTGACGCCGCTGCAGGCGGCGAGCGCGCTCTACGGGCTCATCAGCTCTGCCAGGGCCATGGCCGAGGGGAGGCTGGACTTCGAGGCAGGGAGGGGCTGTTGACTTTTGCGGAAACCTCTGAAAGGATCCAATCGTGCGCAAGTAGCTCTTTAAAGGCACCAGCTCCTACTCCTGCATGCATACGTTCTCGGTGTAACAACGCAACCATGCATTTGGGAGGCCGGCTCCGGCGATGCTCCATCGTTCGCACTGAGAGCGGTACACCCGGTGAAGACCACCCTCCTTGCCGCGTGGTACTCCGCTGCCTTCGCGGCAGAGTTGGCCGCCTTCGCCGTGGTCAGCGCGACGCTGCACCCGATGTTCACCCTGTCGGGATACCTCCTGGGAGCCATGGCGAATGGGGTCGCGACTAAAGTTAGAGCCGAAACAAACGCCCCGGGCACCTTCGTGGGATCTTGCATGGTCTCTTGCGCGCTGCCTTCCTTGGCCATGGCGGGAGCCCAGACGACGGCCTTCAAGCGTGGCTCAGGCTGGATCCCCGCTCTCTTCATCTTGGTCCGCTTCTTCGCCTGGGCAGCCCTCTGCTTCCTGGAGCTTCCGCATGGGCTTCTGCCGGTCGCCTCATTTGGACGGCCCATGGGCTACCCGGTGCTCCAGGCAAAGTTCCTGGCGCCCGCCGCCGCTTGCCGCGAGGCTTTCGTTTGCACTGCCGAGAAGGGGTTCGGCGCCTGTGCTTGGCCTGCCACCGACGAGCTGAACGCACCATCCACCATGTTCAACGCTTGCTTATTGTGCTTGGCCGTGATACTCGTCCCACTCCACATGTGTGTAGTCATCGGGATGCTGGTGGTGAACCCCGTCTATGGCTGCGACGCCGACGACCGCTCTCTGAACAAGGAGGTCGAAGCGAAGGAGCGCGAAATCGAGGATTTTGCATCTGAGAACCAGCGAGCCTCAGGGCAGCACACAGAGCTGAGCCTGCTTGCAAATTGAAGCGGAAGCAACCAAAAGTGCATAAAAAGTGTTCAAAGCCAAATGTCACTCCCACGAATTCAGGGCTGTCTACAGCTCAGAGATGCCCGGAGCAGAAAAGGCGAATTTTGAGGTTGGCAACCGGCGGTGCCCGACCTGACAGGACTTGGACGTGGTACTTGCATGCCTTATGGAGCTATCTTGGCCAGAGTCTACAGGGCCGAGCAAATCTAGAGTCTAGAGATCAGTCCCTGCGATTCGGAGGCTGATCCATCGGCTTGGTGAAGAATAGTTTCTTGTTCGGCTCGGGTGCTTAGGATCCTTCACGCAAGTTCAGCACAGCAGCTCCTGAACAAAGAACCCTAAGGTTTCAGCGGCCTTACGACGAGCTGAGATTAAACAGCTGACCCTAAACCCTAAATCCTAAACCCGAATCCTTAAACCCTAAACCTTTAAACGCAGAAGCCTGAAACCTTCAGTCCCTTAAGTTTTCCTGGTGGAAACAGGCCGGGGAGTGGCAGCTCGCGGTGCAGCTACTGGGTCGTATGGAAGGGGGAGGTCTGCAGGGCGACGAAATCACCATGAAATCGGTCCTTTGGCGCAGGAGAACGGGGCTTTTTCTAGGGGGTTTTAGAGCATGTGGTCAGCTTATCATACTATTGCCAGTGTTCTTATCCATCTGGGATCTTCTTCGTATTGTCGTCCTATTCTTCAGCACAAGAAGCACAGATTACGAGGATGGAGTGTCAGGCGTCGCAGACGGTGCATAGCTTCCGAGTATGTTTTCCGAGTGGTACGCCGCGAGTGTCGTCCTATTGTCGTTTTGACATTCTTATCCTTAGTAGCTTCATTTCATCAGTGTCAAAGCGGTGTTTTTCCTTCGGCTGCCTGTGTGGATGGCAACCATGAGCTCTGCCTCTTTAGCCCCAAACTCCAACTCTAGACCCCAGACCCGGAAACCCGAAACCCTAAAACCCCAAACCTTAAACCCCCAAACCCTAAACCCTAAATCCTAAACCCTAAACCCCTAAATCGACACAGAAAGACGCCATTGCACTTTTTTTTTTAAAAAACCCTAAATCCCCAATCCCCCCAACCTTAAGCCTCGTTTCCATCTTCCCTGCTTTTGGAGCCCCGAGGTCATGGGCGCGTGCGCCCGGGCCGGCGAATGGGAGCTGGCGCTGCCGCTTGGCTCAGGGCCCTCAAAGCCCTCAGAAGCTTTAAACAGCGTACCATCAGGGGTACCATAAGGGTTACCATAAGGGTTACCACAAGAGTTACCATAAGGGGTACCAAAACGGTTACCATGAGGGTTGCCATAAGGGCCGGTTTAAACCCCCCGAAGACGCCTGAACCCTAAACCGCAAAGAAGGAGCTTGTGAAGAAGAGTCGGAACCCTGAACTCTACGAGTCAGAAACTTCCTAATCGAAACACAAAGCCGTAAGTTCTAGATCCCAAACGCTGACTTTTAGACTGTTAGACTCCAAAACACTCCTCTACCCTAAAGCCTAAACCCCTCTGAAAAAGTCTTTTGGTAACCCTTATAGTAACCTTCATAGTGAAGATTATAGCACCCTTATTCCTATAGTCACCCTCGCAGTGAACCTTTTTGTACACTTAGTCTTATAGTCACCCTTATAGTGAACCTTCTAGCAACCTTATTCTTATAGCAACCCTTCTTTATAGTCTTATAGTGAACCTTATAGTAGCCCTCATAGAGCCCGAGGTTCTTCTTCGCGAGCCTCGATTCGCGGGGCCTGCGGCCCAATGCCTTCCACTACACCACGGCGGTCCAGGAGCCTTCTGGGATGGGGGGGGGGTTTAGGGTTTAGGGGTGTAGGGGTGTAGGGGTTTAGGGTTTAGGGGTTTAGGGTTTAGGGGTTTAGGAGTTTCGGGTTTAGGTTGCTTGATTTTTCTTTTGAATTTGTGGTTCTTATAATCCCTACGAAACAGTTAAACATGTGATTTTGGCTAGGGGTCTAAGTTCATAATGATGGGGCTTGGATTGTAGGGTTCAGGGTCTAGGGTTTTGGGGTTTAGTGTTTTTGGGGCGTAGGGTTCGGTTTCGGATTGGGTTTGGGAGCTCGGGTTTGGCTTGGGTGTTTTTCGGACTTGAGCCGGTCGTACGTGCGACACGGTTTCCGGATTTCCGGTTTTGCGCGCCGAACTTTTTCTCCTTAGGGTCCCGGTAAACCCTAAACACTCCACATCCTAGACTCTACCTTCCAAGCTTAAAGCAAAGCTTGTCCCAACATCCCAAGCCCCAAGACTCTAAGAGATGAAACTGGAAGCCCTAGAACCCCAAACCTCAAGACCCTACAGCCTTAAACCCGAAACGGATGCCAAAAAAAGAAGCAGTAGACCGTCAGATTTCTACAAGCTCATACCCTGTAATTCACTACCTGCGAAAATCCTATACCAGACAAGAAGACCTAGAACCCCGCACTTCCCAGATTCCTACAGACACCCCCAAACCTCCGGGCGATGGCCCAGGCGTGCGCGACGGCCGCAGCATGGACCAGAGCTTTGGCAATCTTCGAGGCGCCTCGGCCCTTCTGTTTCTAGTTAAATACGATTACGGTTAACTTAGCTACGGCTACTGATGATATGTCTTCTCGTTGTTATGCTTGTTTTGGTTAACTAAAGCGATTACGGTGGAGTTGACTATGGCTAGTAGTGATACTTGTTTTCTTGCTGTTTCCTCTATCATAAACTTACTGTCAGTATTACCTACCTTCGATTACAGTGAAACGCAAATTGATTCTCAGACTGTTTTTGCAATTTCGTTGTGGATTTAGGGTTGAAGGTGTTGGGGTTCAAGGTGCAGCGTGGAGGGTTAATGGCTTGCTGTTTAAGAAGCCATTGCATCAGCAGGTAGCAACAGTGTTCTTTTAGAGCCTCGTAAGGTTGCAGTAGGAAAGAAGCCCCAAACTGCCCCTGGAACCATTTGGGAGTTTTCGAAGCAGATGGGGGACCCTAACATAGTTCGCTAAATAGTAGGATCCATCTTCTAAGGACCCCCAAAGTTAGGTACCCTAAACCCTAAGCCCTTGTCGATCCCCGATAGAACCCCGAAAAGGAACCCTTACAGGAATCCTAGGACCCCAGAGCAAGGTAACTCCTTTTTTCGGAATTGGTTGTTTTCGTATCCGGAGGCGAAGAGTCCTAGTTGGACGCAGCCTAAAGGGCACGCGTTGGTTAGAGAGCCAGAACTGCGATTCCAGAACTGCGCGGACCAGAAATCCGCTCAAGCTTGCATAAGAAAGGTGGGATTGAGCCAGCGAACCACAGAATGCTCTACAAAACCAAACGTGCAGCTGCGTCCACAGTTTGGGGAAGCTAGCCGCATCCCCAGAGAGAGCAGTTGTCCACCAAGGCACTGCAAGATCAGGTGCTCTCAGCTTACTTGGAGGTTCATGGGTAGTGATAAGTAGGGTAACTATACTTATAACCCATATTAGGGGACTTATAACCCCAATTATAACCACCCCTGAACCTCCAAGTATTCGTGCAGGGGTCGGGACAAACCTGCGCCAATCAACGTGGACAAACGCGCAAGTGGAGCACTCCCAACAAACGTGCTCTGGTGGGTGAATCTGTGCAAGCCTGGACCAAGTGCCTTGGAGCAGACATCAACAGGATGAAGTGTGCTCTCAGGTTCATTCATGCAAAAAAGGGTGGCTCGAACACATTCATGGATGTTGGGGTGGCCATCTGCGCTTGTTGCCCAACCTTTATGATGTCAGGCATGGCGGTCATGTTTATGTCAATAGCTTGACGAAGATTTGCATGGCATTGTACGTGAAGCACGCAGATAGGTGCAACGTCTTTCTAACCGCTGCATGTATGGCCCGCCTGGGCTCCACTTGTTCGTGTCTACATGGTCAATTTCATCCCACTCATCAATGTCAAGCGTGGCGGTCAAGCATACTGGCATCTTGACAATGGTTTGCATACCAACAGTCGGCTTCTGCGGGATGTCGTATACCGACAAGGACTGGACCTGTGAGAACTTATTGGGAAGCGCCTGGAGAAACGGTGGCACTACTTTTGTTGAAAACCGAAATTTTTTGCTTTCAAGGGCAAGACACCATACCGCTGTCCAACTCCATGGCGATTTGCTGCGGTACTGGGGCTCTACGACAGTCGTCGCGCACGAGGACATGCGGGTCCTGATAATATGGTATTATATATATATATATACACACACACACTGTTACATGCATATGCGTATCTATGTACGCACGCACGCACTGACACACTCAAACAGCAACACCTGTACATACAATACATGCATGCATGCATGCATGCATGCATGTATGTATGTATGTATGCATGTGTATGTATGTATGTATGTATGTATGCATGCATGCATGCATGCATGCATGCATGTATGCATGTATGTATGTATATATATATATATACATATATGTGTGTGTGCGTGTGTGTTTACACACACAGACACACACGCACAGTCCTACGCATATGTATCCCCACAGGATTCCCCAGAAGCCGGGCTTATTATGGGCCCAAGGGGACCCTCTCAGGTGATGATTTGGGGCTGCTTCTCACAACCCCTGGCACTTACCCTAAACCCTGAACCAACCCCTGCACTAAGGCTGTCACCTCCCAGCTGCCACCGGCTTCTGGGACTTACTCCGCTGCTATCACGGCGTGCGGACGGGCCGAGAAGTGGGAGATGGCGCTGTGCCTGCTGCTTGGAGCTGTAAGGTTGTTTGTTTGGTCGTTAAGGGCTTCAGCTTCATGGTTTGGGGCCACTAGGCGCATAAAATTCGCTTGGAAGTTATGTTGTTGGGAACGACAAGCGTGTTCAAGAATTTGCTTCTGGGAGTTGCGGGGTTTGGGGAGCAGGGTTTCGGAGTGGAATGTGCCCCGGGTTGGTGAATGAAAAAGATGAAGCACATAGAAGTTGTGACATGCCCTGACTTTGGGGCTTGGATGCCTGATAGACCCTCTTGGCTTCGGACAAATAAGTAGTCAAACCAAGCCTTTGGTGGTTTCTATTCTACAGTTGTTTTGGACCCTTCACGAAAAGACACACTAATTTATCCAGACCCCTGATCCTAATATTGTCAGGTTGGCAACTTACGATAAGAGGCCCCGGACTTCCTCCAGTTTCAGCCCCTCTCCGCTGCTTTGAAGACCGCAGCTTTTCTAGGTACGCCCGTTTTCCGTTGCATTGTTCCGCCGGCCAATGGGTTGGAATATACAATATCCTCCTACACCCCAGGCCCCGCACCCCAACACCTAATGTAAACGCCTAAATGATTACCAACATTATTCCTTGGGGTCCTTATGATAGCTATACTGTAATGTACCCCAAACCCTATTCCAATTATTCAGGCCCCTATATTAGCCCCTCAAGGCGCGAGAGCCTTGAACCCCAAACAGTCGGAACTGCTTTGAGGTTCAGGGAAGCCCAGCTTCATGTGGAGGCCGGCAAGTGGAGGACGCGATCGATTGAAGGATCATTAGGGGCCTAAATGATTAGGTATACTATTGTGGGGGTTCCTTATTATAAGTTAGTTCAATGGCCCCAAAGCCTATTCTAATTATTACGGCCCCTCTTTTAGGGTACCCAGTATGGAGATTTTCATGGCCCGACCAATCCTATCAATCGTACATGAACCACCAGAACCAAAATAACCCTAAACCCTGACGCCTTGCAAAAGAAACAGTATAAAGCAGCTTGAAAGAACCCTTTAAAGGCACGATTTTTGGACCTGGTAGAAACACAACCATAAGTTGAAACCCAGACAGAAACAAGATAAAGTCCTAGCGAGTCTGCAATTTGCAAATCGTATGCAACCGTACAAAGCCCTTATGGAATCACATTGTAATTCTGAAAAAACCTAGCCCAAGTGAAATTCTTCCTAAACCCTGGGCCTAAACCCTAAACCCTAAACCGCCACCGAGTGCTACTTGAGGCCCTTTTTTTCCGCCCGGGCCCTCCTCGGACCCTCTTCGAGGCCTCCCAGGTCATCGCCAATGCGGCGATCGGCGCTTGCAGCCGAGGCTTCGCAGATCTTTCGGGTTTAGGGGTTTAGGGTTTAGGGGTGTAGATTTCCGAACTTATTCAAGCATTGCGACTTGCTGTTGCTTCGGAGTTTGGAGTACTTGAATCTCTGGGGCTCCCGGACTTGGTGCTCCATCTGAGATTTCAATCTTTCGGGGGGGGCGGGGGATCCCTTGAGCCAATGAGCCTCTAGGATCTGGGGTTGTGGGTTTAGGGCCCTTAAGACTGAGAGGTCAGCAGTGGCAGCAAGCCGTGTCCGTGCTGGCCGGCATGGCAGGGGACGCGCTTGTGACGGACTTTCTGGGAGGGCGGCGAGAGATATCTGACGGCGGCGAGTGAGGTTGCTGTTCCATGATCTGTTTGGGTTTCGGAATTTACATAGACTGTTTGGGCATGAGTCCATTCTGTATTTCTCGAGGCCTTCCCTCAAGCCACACGCCCGGTCAAGCATCAAGATCCACTTTGCCGAAATAGTAGTTGAGGCACAACGTCCGAAGACCTGGAATTTCACGAAGGATTATCTTATAGACAACCAAGAAGCCTGTAAAGTTAGGACATCATCAGCTACAACGCTTGCATCAGCTCCTGCAGCTGGGCTGCTGTGGCTCAGGGTGTTTCAGGGGTTGATTAGGGCTCAGCAAGGGTTACTAGGGTTCAGCAGGGTGTTTAGGAAAAGGATGTTCCGAGGTCCGAAAAGGTCCTCGGTTGGAGGACCTGGATACGGGGCTCAGGTCCGTGAGGAAAGGGCTTCAGTCGTAGTGGTATAGTTTGTGAACATGGTTTCAGGCTTCGTAGAGTTCACACACCGTTTCAGGCGCAGGATGAAGCCCGTGAAGAAGACCCTGCCAAGACCACAATGAGACCCTCGCCCTTGAACCCAAGCCTCAACACCTTCATGCGCTTGAGGTTAAAGCCCCAAGGCCACAGACAGTCACAAGCTGTATTTCAGAACTCGCTCGGGGGCCTGCATTCCCTCTTTAGCAGAAGTCTACGGGAAGTCGGATCTTAGGGCTCTCAGGCTGAGAGGAGCGGTTAAGGGTTCCTGGACATGTTTACGGATTCCGATACATGGTTTATAAACCTTGGAGCGTGAAAGCCCCAACCCCAACATTTTCTTCTCAACCCCAACCCTTAAATCACTGAGCCCCAACTCCAAAGCAAAACCCAAAGGTGAGGGCAGCCAACACTGGCAGCGGGTCCTGGACCTTCTGCATGCAGCTCGGGCTCAGACGCTGCGGCCGACGGCAAGCACCTACAGCGCAGGACATCTCTGCGGGCGGTGGAGGTTTGCCTCGGGGGTTGTCTTGACTTCCTCAAACCCTAAACTCTAAAACAAAAATCCTAAAATCGGCCTCACCCTGGTTTCGAGATTCGGTTTAGCCTTCAAGCTGCGAGGTGATGTTACAGCAGTGCAGTATCTGCGCATGTGCAGGACACATATCAGCGCGGGGTGGGGCTGACGAAATCTAGTGAACACTGCTCAGTCCTTCCCCTAACCAAACAAAGGCGATAGGCCCGCGAAGCGAGGTGAACTGCACATATCGTGCAGACCGAGGTCCATGTGGACTGATATAGCCATAGCGGATCAGGGTTTACGGATGTTTAGGGATTTGGCAAAGAGATCAAACCGTGTTAAGAGACAAGGGGTGTTCGTGTCGGATTCAGCGTGAGTTCGCGGTCCCGAGGTATCAGTGTTACACATTAAGAGCTTTCTCTCAATCCTGGGCTCTAAGATTCTTCACGCCACGTCCTACTTGTAGGCTTCGCCACAAAATGAACCTGCGCCTCCAAAGCCTGCACCCAAAGCTCCCAAAACCCCGAGCCCGTGCCCAGGAGTGACGGTGTGCGGGGCTGCATCTCGCTGGGTGGAGGCGCTGTTACTGCTGCAGGCGAGCCTCGGGAAGGAAAAGCGGGAGGAAGACGCCCGAGAGTTGCGGTGCTTCAAGGTACTTGGAGGTTCAGGGGTGGTTACAAGTTGGGTTATAAGTACCCCAAAATGGGTTATAGGCATTGTTGCCCTACTTATAACCGTACTAATAACTACCCATGAACCTCCAAGTAGCTGTTTCTGTACAAGTCGTCAAGTGGTTAAGGACAAGACAATCACAGAAACGAGCACAACGTGGCGGAGCCTCTCGTAGCGGGATGCCCCGAACATATGTTCGACCCCTCCGCCTTTTGAGCAGCTTCTGCTACTCGAAGGAGTCCACCCACAACCTAGCGGCGAGTGCCTTCGGCAGCACCTAGCGTGGCGAGCCCCAACACGCGGGATTCAGAGTGGTCTGTGTTTAGGGGGCTTCGGGTTTAGGCTCTCGTTCTCTGTTTGGGCTTGATCGTACTTTTCGTTATCCTCGGCCTCTTGCATGGTTTAGTCGGTTTCCAGGGCCTCCGAGTCTTCAAGCCCGGAGCTTAAACGGCCCAACACCCGAAGGTTGATGGTCCAAGACTGAATCCTAGATCATCGCTTGTGGGTCGAGGCCTCGTCGTCTTCAACGCCGCGGTCGCCGCTTTGGGACGCGCAGCGGCCTGGTCCCAGGCCTTGCAAGGGTTTTGCAGGGCTTGTTCAGGCGGCTGTGAAAGGCAGCTTCCAGGGTTGGTGGAAGCATCTGTTGGTGGCTTATGGGGCTTACAGGTTACAGGGTCCACAGAGGTTGCTCAGGGTGTATTCATGCATAGGCAGGGGGTGTGAGGGTTGAGGGGTTGGCATCAGGGGCTTTGATTAGGCTTTGGCGGTCCATTACGGTTTTCCATGGCCGAGGCGTTTTTTCTTGGGGATTCGTTAGGATTGGGTCTTAAGTCTTAAAGCTCGTAGACTAGAGCCGAGCGGTTCAATGACTGCACGGTTTCGAGGTGTTTCTGGGAGTTAGTTTTCCGAATTCATGGTTTGGGGCGGTTTTGGGACACGGGGTATCCCCGACCTGAGTCCCATCATGTGCTTGCGAGGCGCTGTCTTTGCTTCACCATGCGGCGAGTCACCTCGAGGCCCGGGCATGGGGTTCCGCGCTTAGGGCAGCTTAGTTATAGGTTTGGGTTGTGTTTGCTGTTACGGTTTTCTTTTTCTGACGGGGGATGGGACGGAGGGATTGGGGTTCGGGGCAGAATCGCCAGCAGGAAACTATGAACTGCAAATCATACCCAGAGCTTCTGGGGCCCCGACAACAAAACCTTGGAGCCCTAGTGCCGCAAACCATCGGCGATGAAGCGAAGGGTGCCTGTAAGAGGTGTCTCAGAAAAGAGTTAACTTGCTGCGTTGCAAACAATATCTCCAGCACCTTCCGAGCTAAGCCTTCTTGAGCCGTCTTCACTTTCAATTGGGCAGGCTTTGGGACTGTAGCATGTAGAAACCTGAGGCTGCAAGAGCCTGCAACTCTAAGCGCTTAAAATCAAAAGCAGCTTTCTAGTTCTGGAAAGGACCCTAGTATCAGGCAGGGCACTGCAAGCCCCAAGCTCGGCAGACCATCCTGCGAGGCTTGTTCTAACGCAGGCTTTCTTGAACAACCTCACTGCTCATATGCAGCCCTTGAAACCAATTAGCCCGACCGCTGTCCCGGGATCCCAATATAGTACCCAAATAGTAGGATCCTTATTAGAAAGACCCCAAATTAAAGTAACCCTAATTTTCGGAAACTCCCATATGCTTCAGGTGGACGTAATCACATATAATGCCGCCGTCACGGCCTGCGAGGGCGCGGCGGAGTGGCAGCAGGCCCGGGGGCCCGCTGTGTTGGGAAGCAGCCTAAGATTGTGGGAAAGCTCTCCACGGTTTAGGGTTTAGGGGTTTAGGGTTTAGACTTTCGGGTTTCGGGTTTAGAGTTTGTGGTTCAGGATTTAGGGTTCGGTTTAGAGTTTTGGGTTTAGGGGAGGGAAAGCTCTCCAAAAGCTTTCAACAGCTCACCAGTCCGGCACCACAACTCCCAAGCCCTTGAGGGAGGCTTCCAGGGTTTCCGTATACTTCTAGCATAATATACCCGCTAGCGAACCACCAATCCACACTCTGAAGCTTAAGCCTCAAACCCCGAACCACAACAGCCAAAACCCTATTCCCTAACTATTCCTAATCCCGACACCCTAAACCTTCAATCCAAAGCCGAATGCAAGAAGAAGGCCGGCCTCAACTGTGCGCCCTCAAGTCTATAAAGCACTGAACCCTACAACACCAAACTAAGCCCACAACTATGCGCCAAAGCCCTACCGAAGCCTAGGCATTGGGCGTTTTGGCAGCTTTGCGGAGCAGCGGTGGCTGGGCTGGTGGTCGGTTTGGTTTCTGGGAGGAGGTTTGGGGGTTTTGGGTTTCAGGCATTAACGGTCCAGGGTTCAGGCTCTGAAATTTTGTAAGGCTTGCTAGTGACAGAAGCAAGATAGTGACGGCAACCTTCGCTTTGTTTCCCGGTCTCCAGAAAATCAAAAAGCCCTATGTGTCAAGTGCTAGACCCTTGACTCCAATGATTTCTCAGTAGATCCCTTTGTGCTCTCCCCACACGAGGTGGCTGCAGGTTTTGATTAGCGTTGTCCTGCCGTAGTGCCGTCTACAGAAAGGTGTCTTATATACATGTGGTTAACCTAGACCAACCATCGAGCATTTGAGCAGAAGGTTGGTCCTTCAGTCCAACTAATGGGGTCCTTATCTATGTTAGGCTCCAACTCTGCGTCTGAAACCCCATAAGAACCCTATCCCTGAGCCTTGACAACCATAAAACCCTGCACGCCCTAAAACCAGGGTGTCAAAAGCTTGAACACACTTAAACCCAAGCCCTGATCCGAAGTGGATCATCGTTCTGCAGCTTTGCGAACCAATGCCGAGGCCTCGAAGCGGCATCCTGGCATCATCTAGCAAGGGAGGGAGGGATTTCTGTGGGTTCCTGGGGGTTTGAACAGTTGATACTAGGGTGCCAGAGGGTGTCCGGCCGTTCTAGAACCTCAGCAAGCACCTAGTTTTGACCCTTTGGCAAACCCTAGCTTCTCAAACGAAGCCCTGATAACCACCCCACAGCCCTAGGTACTTTGTCTGCAGCAATGAACCCGGAATTGTCTTCGCTGCGTCATGGATTAGGGGGTTGGGCGGCCCATGGCGATGGCCCACCTTTGTGGTTTCGGGGGTGAACGAACCACCCTGCGCGCTCCAGACAAACAGCGAAATACAAAATTCAAAAACCAAAGATTCTAAACCGCGGCCCTCCAAACAAAATGGAGACTCGAGGATGTGATTTCCTACAATGCAGCCATGAGTGCCTGCGAGAAGGCCGAGGAAGTGGGGTCGCTTGGCTCGAAAACTGGATTCAGGCCTAGGGCCTAGGGTCTTGTAGCCTTTAGGGCCCATGGCCCTGCACTCCAAACTCAGGCCAGTTGGATCGCGCATGATTCTACTTATGGTAGAGTGGGCCCCAAAACACTATTCTAATTATTAAGGCCCCTACATTACCCACGACCCCCCTCTACTGCACCCCGAACGGAAGACCCTAGGCCCTGCATTTCTAACCGCAGACCCGCACCGCCTTAACCTGAATTGTTCCAGTTAGCATGTGAGGGTGTGTAGTGGGGCCTGGAACGTAAAACCGCACAGAAATTGCGGAAACCGGAGCCGAAAGTTGTGTGAGACAAGCAGGACCATTAGTTAGCAGGATCCCGAAATCCCGAAATACCACACTTACCCCCTTTTCCTGAACCCGTCATACAGCCCTTCTAATTGTAAGCCTCTACATTGCACGAAAAAGCTAGCCCCAAAATTTCTAAGGCCAGCCCTGGATCTTTTTGCTGATCTTTGCAGCGTCCAGTTGCAGCCGACCTTGGCCACACGGCCGAGTTCTTTTGTGGTTTTTTGGGGGCAAGGGGTTGTCGTACGTGCAAGAGACGTTTAACCGATTTCGTAAAGTTGACGGATATCCAGATTTCGTTACGGTTGTGTTTGGATTTCTGCTTTGGATGGCTTAGGGACTCTGCGGTGCGAGGGGACAGGTGATCTTGTTCCTAAGCCGCACTTTAGAGTATCGAATTTCTGCGGGCCCGTACACTACAGTTCTGCATAAAGGTCCTAGCAAAGACAGAATCCCGTGAATTACGCGAATTCACCTAGTACGGATTTGGAGATGCTGCGTCCTACGGCCCGGGCGCATACCGCTCAACCACGACCTTCGAAAAAGAGATTGAAGCTGATGGCTCGAAAACTGCACGTCAAGTGCTGAATCGTGTTGGATTGCTACACGACGTGGGCAGCCTCGTCCTTCACAGGTGTGCCTGGCATGACTTTCTGGCGCTCGGAGTGTTTCCGATAGACCAGCGCAACATGTCGTGACCTGTAGTTGCGACAGTTTGTCCTTCGGTGCACAGGCCTTGGCTCAGGCTTGTCGTTGTCCCGAGATATCTTGGCAGCGCTATGGAGCTTGCCTTTCGCTGCAAGGGCTCCTGTAAACAGGAGTTTGCGCGTCAACTCGATAAAGCAGAACTTGCTGCAGACGCATTGCAGCCTTGAGTTCGCCCAATGTGGATGAGGAGGAGGCGAGCGAGGACAAGGCCCAGTTCAACGAAGCTGAAGCTGAAGCTAGAAAGGGGCCACCCCCAGAATGATGTGTTTCGGAAGCGCAACTCGCACTTCAGGTGATTTTGCATTTGGGGTTGGGGAATCAATACTTTTCCCTGCAGCGTCGCAGGTTGCAGACGACATTTCGCGGACGGCGTGCCATCGTGTGCAAATCGACTACAGCGATGGGTGGGGTGAAGAGGTGAGGCGCTTCATGCAAGGCAAGTCTGAAGACTCTGTTTTGGTTCACGATCGGCATGGTCAAGCCAGAAGCATCTTTGCTGCCAGTGACGACATTCCCGGTGAACCCGACTTTCCCCTCACTTTGGTGTACACACAGGCATGGAGGGCGCGGTATTCGATAGCTTCGTCAGTTCGTTCGGGAACCGTTCACTCTGTCCAGTAAGGCCCTCCCGTTCGTTCCATAATGATCCCGTGCGCCTGCAGGCAGACGACATGGAGGATGGTGGGCAAGCACAGAAAGATCTACGTCTCAAGCTCGACTACTTCAAGGGCATGGTGGCCATGTACGAGGATGTGAAGTATGTGGTCAGGCGCAAAGACGTGGACATAGACAGGACTTACAGAAAGCTTTCCTCCAACGGTAAGATTTTGGCTGACTCGGTGTATGAGAAGATGACTCGACTTCTCGACCACGTGGAGGCACAGATCTACCGAGTCCTTGGGATCGAGGACTCATGGTTTGGTGTGCAAATTCTTCAAACCAAACGGTGGCTTCTCGAACATCCGATCAAAACAGTGTCTGGTATCGGTACGCTTACCGCGGTTGTCTCCGGCGCTCTTGGCCTTCTCTGCCACTTGGGGCATCATATCTTCTTCGATGCCCACTTGGTGTCGGCACCTTTGAGTCTCCCTGCGATGTTCGGAACAGGTGCCGTTATGGGTTTCGCAGCGGGATGTCTCATCGCTCTGGGCTTGTACTTCCTTCTGACAACAGACTGCTTTGAGTTCCTCACAGACACGTCCAAAAGCGAGATTGACCGAATCAGTTCAGTCGTGGACACTATGATGGGGCTCTCAGACGAGCAGTTCGTGAAGTGCCTCGACGACTTGATGGAGAGTTGTGCCAACTTGTCGCAGGCAGTTCCTCATCACGAAGATCGGCACTGTTGTGTGTGCCTAGAGAGTGGTCTCTCTGTCACAGCGCCAGTCAAGGCTCCACGGTGCAAAGGTTCCCATTTCATGTGCAAGTCGCACTGGAAGGATTACGCTAGCAGCATCTACGGCAAGAACAACATCTGTCCGCAGTGCCGTGTGTGACCAAGCAGCACCTGGGCAGGACTGCACCCTTGTCATGCAGACCATGGCCCCAGCTCTAGGTCTCCGATTGGGTTTCTGCTGACCGCATAATAGGCAGTTCTGCGGCAGAAGTTCTGCAAGTGCCGGCAGGGCGAAGTCTGAAGCACGGCAGAGAGTTTGTGTATAAGAGAGATTTCGTCGAAATGTTTTGTTGATGATGCTTGCTTTGCCCCCAGTTTCGCATGTGACATGTTCCGGTAACGCCAGTGTTTTCGACAAGCGGCCGACAAATTTCTATGAAAGGGAAAAGGAAGGGCTTTGCGTTCGTGCGCGGGCTTTTTGATTTGTGCACCTGTGCTTCAGCATATTTTGCTATCCAATCCGAGACCGACGTGCCAGGCTTGAGACACAATGACTTCGCCAAGTTCCAGAAGCCACGGGCTTGTGTCTTTTTGTGGTGGTTCTAGGGTAGGAGCTTAGGGAAGTTTTGGGTTGAGAGTTTGAGGTGCCGGGCAATAGTTCTGACAAGCTGGAGCGCTCACAAGCCTTCATTGCTGGGCGGGTTCAACTGTCGCAATGTCCTTATGCCCAGAACCCTAGCTACACCCATCATGGAGGTGACAGCGGGCTGATGAGTCTGATCCTTCCTGAGCCTTAAAATACACCTCAAGCACAAACTGTTGTTGAACTTTAGGCCCCTTACCCTGAGCCGATTCCCGGCGGGCCCCCGAAGCCCTTGCCATACACATCTCAAGACAGTCCGTACCTCGTATGTACCCCTAGCATTTTAGACTGAAGTTGTAGACTGACTAGTTTACAGTTGCGTAAGGGTTCGGATTTTCATAAGGGTGAAGCCAGGCTTTCTCGGGCAGAAGCTTTAGCAGCAGCTTCGTGCAAGAGTCCAGAGGCCCGTCAATGCCCCCAAAGGTGAGTTTTTCAGCCGCCGCCTCGGCCTGTGAGAAGGTGGCCGACTGGGAGCAGGTGCGGTGGGTTGCTGCATTTGGGACTTTAGACTCTATCTCCAGGAAACTATGTCCAAGCTTTTATACAGGCTATGGCCGGCGTCGCGGGACCTTTAACCACCCACTGCACCCTGTAGAACCCTTTGTTCCAGATTGCACCCAGAGCTTGCTAGACTCGTCGGACTCTGTGACATGCAACACAGACGCCGCAAACCTTGAGCAGGCAATTCATAGCTCCCGATGAAAGAAGCAACCTTCGAGGGGCATAAGCAGTGCAGCAGTCACTTGCGAGGCTTTTGCGAAGCTATGGCTCATCAACTCCACTGTTCCTCGGGCCCGTAGAAAGCAGGAAGAGTCCGATAAGATTCCGATGTCAAGATCTCGTCTTACAAACACCGGCTCCTAAGCGCAGGCGTGGCGCAGGTAGTGGTCATGGCCACATGAGAAAAACTTGATATCATTCTCTTGGAGCCAAGCCCGGCAGCACCCTAGATCGCACACTTTGAGACCCCAAACCCCAGTTCCTTGTCACCTTCAGCGGGCCTCCCAAAGCTCGAAAGCGAGAGCGGTAGCTAAGGGGTCGAATGTTGAAGGCTTTATCTTGCAGACATTAACGGCAAGGCTTAAGGCTTAAGGTTTCGTGTTTATGAAGACCTACAGCGACCCTACGGACGGACACCTGTAAAGACAAGATGGACCGACCCCAAGGAAATCGCAGAGGAGAGTGCTTTACAAGCGCAACACATTACACGCGTCATGACCATCTGCTGCTGAAAGCTAATGCAAACCCTGCTGAAACCTTCGGGGGTGGTAGCACAATCTAGCAATCCTTGAGCCCAGAGCCCCAGACCCTGAGCTACGAAAGAATCAAGCCCTGGAGGCCGTGAAGCCCAGAAGCCTGAAACTGCAAAGGCCTTGGGCCTTGTGGCCAGAGCTGCAGCAAGTGGCGTGCAACCAGACGTGGCGCCACCACTGGAAAGATTGGGCTCTGTGACTTTAGGATGCATGCCTTTGGACGTGCACAGGCTGTGCGAAGGTGTCGCGGAGCTTTGGAGATTTGAGCGCGATCAGCGTCAGCTGTCTGCGGGTATGCCAAGCGCCCTTTACAGGAATTCGGAAGATTTCAAGAGGATCGATGCAGGCGAGCGCATCAGTATTTAGATCCGATGCTCTCTCGGGAAGAGGGACAATGAAAGCTTCCGACAGGTGCTCTACAATGCCGCGCTGGCTGCATGCGAGAAGGCACTAGCCCGTGTCTCTTTCGAAACCTTGTGGGGAATTCGGTCTGGGATTTCTGACTGGTGCTTAGTGCTTGCCAGTCAAGTGTTTTAGTGGCATTGTATTCGCACCGTTATGGTTCCTGATATTGCGACTGATATGACAGCTACCATTCACGCATAAGTGCTGGGCAGTAGGGGCCGTTGGGGTTGAGCTGATGCTCCTTCTCGTCTTCCATGCCTCTTTTCTCATCCTCCATCCCCCCAATATACAAGTGTCTCAGAGAAGGAAGCTGTCGGGCAGCCTTGCATGAGATCGCAAAAAGCAGTTGCAAGTCTTGTTCCGCTGCTGCAAAACCCACTTGGAGGTTCATGGGTAGTTATAAGTAAGGACACTATACTTATAGCCGGGGACTGATAACCCACTTATAACTACCCCTGACCCTCCAAGTATGCGAACCAGGTGAAGCCCTGTAACTTCGGGGCCTAAATAAATACTATTCCTTGGGGTTTCTTATTCAAGTTATAGTATAATATATATATATATATATACACACCCCAAAACCCTATTCTAATGACTGAGGCCCAGAACTCTATTAGAGTTCCCTTGTAGAGCCCTTTAAAGGGGCCCTTAAAGCCTTAAAGGAACCTTGTTCTAATTAGTAAGGCCCCTCCATGATAGAACTCTATTACAGATCCCGTATAGAACCCTTTGAAGGGACCCTTAAATGAACCCTATTTTAATTATTCAGGCCCCGAAATGACAGAACTCTATTATGGATCCCTAGAACCCTTTAGAGGAGCCCCTAAAGGAGCCCTGCTCTAATTATGAAGTCACTCTATTATAGATCCCTAGAACCCTTTAAAGGAGCCCTTAAAGGAACTCTACTCTAATTATGAAGGCCCCTACATTCATCCTGTGCAGGCTGCCCGGTGGCCAGCAGCCCTGCAGCTCTTCACCGCGCTGACGCATGCCCGCCTGGAGCCGTCGTCGGCGGGAGCCTCGTTGAGGGCCCTCCCCCGATATGGGTTATAAGTATAGTCGCCCTACTTTTTTTCTGGTATCTCGTTCAGAGATTTGGGGAGTACAGGGTTTCGATAGCCCGATCATTACACCGATTGTCCTTTGTCTCGGTTGTGGTTTCTGGGGGGTTCTCAGGTTTTGTGGACAGCTGTGCAGGGTGTTTGAAAAGGCAGCTTCGTGTGCATCTGGGTAGGAAGCCCTGAAAGATCTTTCAATATCTTTCGCAGTCTTTCGCAGATGTAAAGGTCAAGAGTATCTCCACGGTCAAACTCATCAAGACGACGTCCCGCAGTCCAAGCCCAAATCAGCCTAGCTATGTCGTACCTGTAGCCGAAAAGACCTACCTTTTTTAAGGAACATATGTAGAAACCATAATAAGAACCCCTAAAAGGTAGGTCTTTTCGGCTACAGGTAGTCATTGACCCCAGTGAACCTTCAGAAGACAGAGGTCTGAAGAATTAGATTGTTATCCTACGGATTTTCCTCAATCGAGTTACAGTAGAATCGCCTCCCCAGTCAATTTTTGTAGACCTCTCTCTCTCTCTATGTGTATACGTATACATATATATATATATATTTATGTATGTACACACAGACATATATAAGTATATGTTACGTCCTAAGGGATGCTGGAAGCCCCTGAATCTCAAGCTCCGAACCTCTGGTTCCTACCGGAGGTCTCGGTTGCGGCACCCCTGTCTGCCTTGGCAAAGGGCTCACGGCCTTTCGGCTCTGTTTGGAAATTTCAGGGTTTAAGGTTTAGTCTTCAGCCTTCTATAAGTGCACAAGCGGCGTACAATACAAGGGTCCTATAAGGGTCTAGGCTGCAGGTTCAATGTTGAGGCCCATTTGGGCCTTAAGTTCAGGGGTCCCAGAGATCCAATATCTCTTAATTCAGGAATATTCCTTAAATTATAGTAGGATCCCGAAATATGATTTAAGGTATATTCCCTAATTAAGGGATATTGGGGTCTCTGGGGTTTAGGGATGTTTGAGTTTTGGGTTTCTCCGATTCCTTAAGCCCCACGCGGGAGGTCTGTAGGACCGCGAACTCAATACTACGGTTGATGATAGAAATCCTGCATTACCTTAAGGATCCTAGACCGTGGGAATTACGGTATATTCCTTATTATGGGTAATGCAGGATGTATATCATCAACCGTATGTTGACCTTTAAAGTTTATGAAGCAGGCAGCCCCTGTCAGTCGACACAACCTGAACCTCCAGTCTAGGGATTTGGGATTACTTATTCGGGGTCATGGTGTTTTCCGCGGTTCGGCAAATGCTGAATTACCGGAAGCCCGGACAGCATTAAACCCCAAGCCCAAAGCCCTCAAGCACCACTAATTCCACAGATACTTAACCCTCGACAACACTCCGGACCCCCACGACCATTCATTCCATGAATCCCTACTGCAACCGTAAAGCCAAAGCACCTTAATGTACACGAAACCTCATTCCCTGAGTGCTGCCCCAATCCATGAGCCCATCTCCCAAATTCCCAAACGGTAGGATCGCTATCTATAGACGAAAGGGTTCTAAGAATGCATAAAATGCAATCTATTAGCGTTATTATCCAGCCCTGCAATCCACTCCGCATAAGCATCGCTAAAATCCCACGAAGGCAAATTGTGGATTCAGGGTAAAAGCACTTAAAGAAGCCGTAAGCCCTCAACATCGAACCCTACTTGGAGGGGCAGGGGACTTAATAAGTGGGTTATAAGTCGAGTTATCAGTACCCTACATGGGGTTACCCCAATTATAACCTTACTTATAGGCGACTTACTCAGTCCCCTGCCCCTCCAAGTAGACCCTGAACCCTAAACCCCATAGATCCCTTTAAGGATCCCTATATAGATCCCTTTAAGGAGCCCTTTAAGAACCCTTACTAAGTCCCCTGCCCCCCCAAGTATCCCAGGTGGCAGCTCTCTCTGGTGTTTCTGGCCGACTTGGCCCCACGGTGCCTCGACCTTGTTGGCAAGCGCAGGAAGCGGTTTCGGGTGCAGTGGTCTGAGGCTTAATATAGGGGCCTTAATAATCAGAATAGGGTTTTGGGGGCACATTATGCTATAATTGTATAAGGAGCCCCCCACAAGAGTATAGGTACTTATTAAGGCCGCTATAGTAGGCTTTAGGGCCTTGAGAGTTCAGGCTTAGGATTTCTCGGCCGCTGGGTTTAGGTTCCCCGATACCTGAGGGCTTCAAACCAGCAACCCGAAAGCCCAAACCCAAAACCCCAAAGCCCTCTCGTTCGGCATCTGGTATAGTATAGTATACTATCGTATTCTTTATTTGTTTGGTATAAGTAGACTATAGTATTCCCTTCATGGTATACTATAGTATATGGTCGCCTTTGTATAGTATACGATGGTACTCTTTGTATAGTATAGTATTGCTCAAGCTTTTTCAGACAGCCTAAACCCTAAACCCTAAACCCCCTAAAACCCCTAAACCCTAAACCCTAAACCCTGACCAGTCTGCCGGTGCCCCCAGGCAACTTCATGCCTTCGCTGCCCCGGAAGCGGCCTTAGGCGTGGCCGAGCGTGGGTCTAATATTTAAGGTTGAGGAGTCAAGGGATCTGTAGGATTTGGGGTCCTTTAAAGGGATCCATAAGGGTTTAGGGTTTAGGGTTTAATGTTTGGGGTTATTAGGGGTTTAGGGTTTAGGGTTTAGGGGTTTAGGAGTTTAGGGGTTTGGGGGTTTAGGGGTTTTGGGGTTAGGGTTTAGGGCTAATGTACTATACGATGCCATAATCTACCATAGTATACCCCAAGTAGACCATAAGGTACTATGATATGGTATGCTGTGCTATATTAGTACTAGAAGGTACCATGCTGTGATATAGTAGACTATACTGTCGTATAGTAGGCGACAATTTGTTATGGCAGATTAGCATGTGATGTAATATACCGCCCCGTTTCACCATATTGTACAATAATGTACTGTAGTTTTCCACAATACACCATACTATGCGACAATGCACTGATGTTGACCATCGTGTACTCTCATGTACTACAATGCATTATGGTCTTAGGTTGAAGAAGATTTCAAGCCCCTCAACGTGAGCACAACCCTCCAAAACCGTGAACTCGAATCCAATCTACGTGGGCGTTTCCACAGCTAGCTCACGACAGCTTACAGACCAAGGAGTAGAGAAAAACAAGATCCCAAGCTTCACAAAGCCCCAAGCTTCACATACCATATTCTGATATAGCCCGTACTGTAGTATACCGTAATATTCCATACTGTGCTAGACTGTACTGTAACATAGCAAAGTAGCGGAAGGTGCGTACCAAGCTGCGCAGTGGCATGAGCCTGCTAGCGATCTGCCCCTGGGCGGCCGGATCACGATGCAGGGCTTAGGGTCCCTCTCTTAAACGCCTTCAAAACCCCTCTTTGTTTGGGTTCCTTGAGAATCGGCCTTATGAAGGACTGTTCTACCTGTTGGGTCTCCCGCATATGGGGGGTTTGAGGCTTGCTTCCTGGGGTTTAGGGCTCCGGAGTGCTGTTTTGGAGTTTTTGTTGTAATTGGGGATTAGATAGGGGCTCCCCCTACTAAGCACCAGACAGATTATGTCAAGTTTGGGCCTTCTTGGTTTCCTGGGCTTTTTTGGGGATGTGGGTGTCGGGTGGAGACTGTGGGAGGATTGGGGCTTGGGGTTTCCGGTGTGCATTTGACCAGTTGGCCGTGATGCGATCATGATCGGGTTTGTGGGTGGAGTTGGCCATGCCCAGGAACTCCGGCCCTGAGTGTGGAGGTTAGAAAGGGGCCCCCCACCCTGAAATAGTGGTATAATAGGAATATAATAGGGCCCTAATCTAATCCTTATAGTCACTATTACAGGGTGGGGGCAGCTTCTAAGTGGAGGTTCAATCACGTAAGTGTAGCACCAACCCAGCAAGCCCTGTCTGCAGTGGAAACCTCCTGGGGGAAGGGAGCGTGTCTTTTGATTTCGTCCTCGCCATGGCTGTCCCGGAGGGGTACGATCCCGTCATCGCTTTCAAGCTCTGCCCCCCTGGGGGGATTCTCTTTCAGCTTGGCCTCTACATCTTCGCGGCTTCGGCAGCACTGGGACATTTCTCTCTAGGAATAAGCAAGACTCCTGACTTTTAGTATAATGGCTTCGTTTCTTGATGAAGTCGAAATAGAGTGGCTGCTTCTGAATCTTCCCTTCCACGTCGGGGTCCGCTGCTGTCCCGGGCCGCACGCTTTCTTGATTCCAGGACATCATCAACGATGTGGTGCAGATCGGAACCTTCGTGTACCACGGCGACTTCTGGTTCGCGGCGTTCATGGTGGTCTTTATCGGCCTTAGCCTCCTCCTCACCATTTCCAACATGGCCACGGCCAGCGAGCTGAAGCGCTTCGACCCGCTTGGTGAGGCCAAGTTGTGCTTGGCCCGGCAAGTGCCGACCCTTGCATGGCAGGAGATGCTGGGCTCTTGTTACTAGGGATCTAGAGTCTGTGGTAAACAATAGGGTTTCTTTATTCTTATGTCTAGTGAATAATAGGGTTTCTTTACTCTTATGTATGGTAACTTAGATTGCATTCCCTTCCTCGAACCCAGGATGCTCATGTGCGAGCGCGTCGTGGAAGCGCCCGGCACCGGCCTCATCGGCCCCTACGGCGCCTCGCTGCTCCAGCTGACGCCGCTGCAGGCGGCGAGCGCGCTCTACGGGCTGATCAGCTCTGCCGGGGCCATGGCCGAGGGGAGGCTGGACTTCGAGGCAGGGAAGGGTCAGGAAAAGGACCCTGTTGAAGTTTCAAGGAGGCTAAGTAGAGGTACATAGGTGCGGAAGAACCAACATCCCTAGACTTTAAACAGGGAATGGAAGCTACCTTTGCTTTCTCGCTTCGGTAAACTTGCAGAACACCCACTCCTGGCTATGTTTTCAGCACCCTTGTGAAAAGGCAGTTGGAAGCGGGAGCATGCAATCGTACTCCTTGAAAGCCGTGCGCCCGGTGAAGGCCGCCATGCTCACAGCATGGTACTTCGCTTCCTTCGCAGGGGAGCTGGCGGCCTTCGCCGAGGTGAGCGCGACGCTGCACCCCCTCGTCACCCTGCCGGGATACGCCCTGGGCGCGCTGGGTATTTGTGGATGGCAGCTTTCTCTTGCATGATGGTTGCCTTGGCTATGGCTGGAGCTCAGACGAGGAGCTTCACGAAGTATAAGACCCCCGAAGGCCGAGGCTTCATCCCCGCTCTCTTCATCCTCTGCCGCCTCTCCGCCTGGGCGGCCCTGTGCTGCGTGGATCTTCCGCAGGGGCTTCTGGCCATCGGCTCGCTGGGGCGGCCCATGGGCCTCCCGGTGCTCCGGGCGAAGTTCCTGGCGCCGGCCGCCGCCTGCCGCGAGGCTCTGCTCTGTTTCACATCGCAGTTGTGGGTAACGACCGAGACGAAGACGAACTCGACTGCCACATCTTTCAGCGCAGAGGTGGGGTTCCATGCATGTGGCTGGCCGGCAACCGGCGAGCTGAACACGCCGTCGGCCATCTTCAACACCTGCTTGTTGTTCTTGGCCGTAGTGCTCGTCCCGATCCACATGTGCGTAGTCGTTGCAATGCTGTTTCTGAACCCTTTGTATGCATTTGGAGCTGACAATCTGGATCTGAAGGAGGAGGTCAAAGCAAAGCAGGTTGAGATCGATGAATTCGCCAGGCAAAACAAAGAGATGAACGGCGAGTACACTGAGCTGTGCATGCTTTCGGATTGCGATTCCAGTTCCGATTCCGAGTGACTCCGACAATTCCGGACCGAGCCTAGAAAGCGGCATGTCTGGTGCTGCAAAAGCCTGGCTGGGTTCACTATGACAACGTTGTAGCCTTTCTTGGCGGCGAACGCTTGAACGGCTTCGATCAGGTGGGGATCTTCCACGTTAATGTTATGGCACTCCATCTGGCCAGTGTCGCCCACGCGACACTGGCCAGATGGAGTGCCATAACATTGACGTGGAAGATCCCCACCTGATCGAAGCCGTTCAAGCGTTCGCCGCCAAGAAAGGCTACAACGTTGTCATAGTGAACACAGAAGAGAGGATGATTTACTTTAAAAAGATTGACAACCCACACGCTGCGACACAAGATTTTGGGGTTCCTTACTATACTCATAGTAGAATATACCCCCCAAACCCCATTCTAATCATTCAGGCCCCTGCATTCGACAGATTGACACGAGCATCCTCATACGCCCCCCCCCCCCCACCACACGAATTCCGTGGAGGCCCTGGGCCTCAATACCAGGTAGTATTAAGGAGACCCCGGACCATTCTTGACCTGACTTCTGGCTCTCTTAGAAGGAACCTTATTGAGAGGGTCTATATCCCCAAGGGGTCCCCTTAATCCTAACTCCTACTCGACCCCACACCCTGAATCCTGATATCCTGAGGCTTTCTTCTCTGGAGATCCATGTGACGCAGGGGCTGAGGCGAGATTGATCCCAAGACCCGGATTATCGTGCACGATAGTTTGTTGCATATCAATCCTGATTCAATCGATGTATGCGGTATGTCTCAGTTTTATGCTCTGCCCTGAACCCCAACGACTACGCAGCTGTGATGAGATAGTTCTCTTTTTACGGGGATAGTCCTGGGAATCATTCCGCCAAACCCCCTGGGCCATCCTTGAGTCGAGGGCGGCTGATGTCCAGGATCTGACCAGGCTCGGAAGCGAGGGCGCCAAAAAAGAGGTCGCACGCTGGAGTTGAGGCTCTACCGGGACCCCCAAGAGTATGTAGAACAATAGCCTTTTATCTGTCTAGGGCCATTGTATTCCAAGCCATTATGTAGACTAATAGTCGTTTATAGGTCTTGGGCCAATATATTATACATTATGTCTTACTTACTTTTGACGTTGCGGGTTCCGGCTTTCTTCCCATTGCCCGAAGCCCCACCTGCGAAAAAAATCAACCCCAAGCTTCAAACTTCAGCTGCAATGTATCTCCTAAAGCCTACGTCCCAAAGCCTCAGCTGCTCGTGCCCTGACACCCCAGCAACGACCCTGAGCCCAAAGCCTGAACGGAGGGGGCACTTGAGGAATGAGGTAGGGGCTCCTTTCCGGGGTTCTTGCAGGGCTCGACAAGGGTTCTATAATATGATGAGGGGTCTTGGCCTGAAAACAGGGGCACCCATAGTAATGAAGAATAACCAACGGTTAAAAGAGGATTCTGGAAGGGGTTGCGTTTTCGGAAGGGATGTGTAGCCTGCGTTTATATCGGTTTTGTCAGGATTTCAGCAGGGATTGTCGGGGGCACGCTGTTTTCTGCCAGACCGAACTCAGGAAGACCGACGGGCAATTCGAAGTCCGTGCCTAGAACAGTACTCATCCCCCGCACCTTCGGCGCTACAACTTAACGTCTGCACAGGACACAGGTGCATTGAATCCATAAGCACTCCGGGCAATGGTTGGAATGTCGGAACAGCCTAAAGGCCCTAGGTGCCCATCTCTCTGAACTTGGGGCCCCTTCTCCGTAAGCTTTGGAAATGTTGCTAGGGGTTCGCGTCAACCTTCTGTGCTTCGGAAGTGAGGCTGTCAGAAAATATCAATAATGGAAGTAGTAAATTTAATAAAAACCCAAATCCTGAAGCATGTCACCAACCTCCGCGGCTGTTTCTCTCAGCATGACTGGTTAATGCGCCTTGTGCCTGCGCGGAGCAGGCCCATGGCTCCTTTGTACAGGCGCGGAAAGCGGCCGGAAGTGTAGGGCACCGGAAGAGTTCGAGGGGCCGCAGACCGTCCGCGTCCGTGGAAGTAGGGTTTTCGGTTTAGGGTCTAGGGTTTTCGGTTTAGGGTTTCAGGTTTTCGGTTTAGGCTTTAGGGTGTAAGCTTTAGGCTTTCAGGTTTTCGGTTTAGGGTTTAGGGTCTTCGGTTAGGGGCTGTTAGGCTTGGAGGTATAGAGCTACTTACAACCCCAATCAAGGTACTTATAACCGTACTTACTAAGTCCCATGATCCTCCAAGTAGGCTTGGAGGCATACAGTAAACTCCATAAAGTTGGAAATCGGATTAAGGCCAAATAGTGCTGGGATTCCATATACATTACTCTTAAGGATTGAGGCTATTGGGTTTCCAACTTTTGGGCTTTTACTGTACCTTGGGTACTGCCCCCACTCAGTAACAGTTGGATAATATTCGTAATGTAGTTATATTAGGCCCTCTATAGCAGCCCTATTATAGACTGTTACTGTATTAAACCCTAAACCCTAAACCCTAAACGCTAAACCCTAAACCCTAAACCCTAAACGCTAAACCCTAAACCCTAAACCCAGGCCGTGCCGAGCCGGAAGTGCACGGTAGAAGGAAGCTCGCCCTGCTCAGACTCACAAGCATCCCTGGGGTTCCCGGAACCACCTGGAGCTTCATGGGTAGTTATAAGCAGGGTTCTAAAGGGGTCTATAGGGTTCCTTAAAGGGTTCTATAGGGTTTAGGGTTTAGGGTAGTTATAAGTAGAGTTATAAGTAGGGAAACTAGACTTACAACCCATATTAGGGGACTTATAATCCCGCTTAAAACCACCCCTGAACCTCCAATCAGCGGAGCTCTCTCTGCAGCGATTCTAAGAGAGCAGCAAGGCTTCTCAAGGCTCTCCCACAGTATAGAGATAGGAGAGCAAGCTTTGGGTTTAGGGTTTAGGCTTTAGGGTTTAGGGTTAAGGGATTCGGGTTTAGGGTTTAGGGTTAAGGGCTTAGGGTTAAGGGCAGAGTGGGCGCCTTGGGTCCTATGCCCCAAACCCAAAAGATTTGAGCCCTTTAGACCTCAGACTTTGGCGCCTGGAATCCAGAAACACTGGCTCTAACTACTCACGAATGTCATTTTGCAGTTCGGCACCTAAGGCATCCGCATGTCAGAGGTTGCCAGGAGGCTAGATGCTGTACGGAAAAGCTGTGGGGCGACTAAACTTATACCCTTCAAGAACCCATCAGGTTTGAAGCGTGCCGGTTCCAGTGATACCCTAACGCCAAAACCCTAAACTCCTACACCCTTAACCCTGAAGCTCTTAAGCGCTAAGCCTTAAATTCCTAAACCAGACCTCAAAAATGCCCTCCAAAAGTTCAGCTGCCTAATCCATGGCAGGATAGGATGGTGCCGCCGCTGGTGAGGTCAAGCCTCGGACGGTGCACCTGGAGGCCCATCTCGGTTCCTTTAGGGGTTTCTGTAAGGGTTTTTTGAAGAGTTCCTGAAAGGAGCCCGTACTTCCTAAAGAAAGGGTTCCGTTAAGCGTTCCCTCAAGGGTTTCCCTAGAGGGATCCTTAAGGGGGGGGGTTCTGCAGCAGGGGCTGTATGGGTTTCGATAGGTTCCCACCCTGTAATAGTGGCAAAATAGGAATATAATAGGGCCCTAATACAATCCTTAGAGTCACTATTACAGGGTGGGGGCAGCTTCTAATGTATGGGTTTCGAGGGGTTCCGGGATCTTGGGTATGGAGTGCTGAGGCTTCTGCGAGGACTTCGAGGGAAGGGCTTCTTGGGTCGACCAGCTTCCTGTTGAAGTTCAGGGTTTAGAGGGTTTCGGATTACTAAACCCTAGGTGTTGGGGGTTCAGGGCTCCTAAACCCAAGGTTTAGGGTGTTCAGGGTTCCTAAACCTTAAACCCTTACGTTTCAGGGTTTAGGGCTCAGGGTTTAGGGTTTAGCGCCCCAGATTCACAGCAACTCCACTCTGCAATCTGCAAGCTGTTCATCCGGCATCAGTCCCCTGGCAGTAGCCGGATGACGACATCGGCGCACACCGGGGTGGCTTCAATAATTTCCAATTCTATTTTCGGGGCTCCTTAGCTTAATTATAGTATAATGCGCCCCAAAACCCTATTTGAGGTATTAAGGCCCCTATATCATAGAACTCTACTTATAGATCATTCAAAATATCCCCTATAGTAACCCTTATGTACCCAATAAGCCCCAAAACCCTGTTTGAATTATGTAGGCCCCTATAGTAGGATTCAGGTTTTCTTCTGAAGTACCGCTCCTTGTCGTCCATCTGGGTTCACTCACATGGCCTTCCCAGACCCCCGGGATCCAAAAACGTGTATCCCTTAATGCGGTTTCCTATAAAGGTACCCTTAGTAGTATAGAGCTCCAAATTAAGGGATCCACTTTCTAGATACTCCCGGGGCTCTGGGTTGATGTATAGTTCAGAACAAGCAAGCAAGCGATCAACCTGAATTCCTATCACCTTCCTAGCCTGCTACTTTGTGTTTTAAGTTACCTTGATAGGGATCTGGAGTAGTTACTGTGGTTTCCCTATTGTGGTCATTTACGGCCTAACATTCTTCTCTTTGAGCATACTTAGGGTGCCGTCGACGAACGTTCGCTAGGCCTTAAACCTAAATCGTTCGAAAAATGTTTTGACTCCAAACAGCAGGCCCCACCACTGCAAAATGCAGTTGAAATCTTAGACATCAAAAAGGCGTGAACGAACACTCTGAACCCAGGCACCAAAGCCGCAAACCCTAAACTCTAAAGCCCTAAACCCTAAACCCCAAACACTATAGATCCCTTTAAAGGAACCCACCGCCGAAGCTTGGACGCAGGCTTTGCTTCCTTTTTCTTGGTCTCGCCGGTGCCGTCGTTCCCAGCGGCGTTCCGGGGAGCGCATGCACGAAGACTTTACGGTTTAGGGTTTAGGATGTTGTCTTCTATGGCTTCATTGGGAACGCCATCTGCTTGGGAAAGCCAGCGTCTGTTACGAGTATACTTTGCAGGCTGGTTGGATAATGTTCGTCGTCCGGGGAATTTGTGCACCATGCGGGGTTGTCCTTGCGGTTTGTCGATGGGTTGGAAGACTTTCGGAAGTGCTTGGAGGTTCAGGGGTAGTCATAAGTGGGGTTATAAGTCCCCTAATTTGGCTTATAAGTATAGTTATCCTTCTTAACCCTACTTATGACTACCCATGAATCTCCAAGTGGATGAGACTTCTGGATTGGTTTTCGCATGCTTTCCAAGGTTCCGCTGGTGACCTGTGGAGAACCGTACTTTTGGGTGCCAAATATTCATCCAAGACGTCTGACAGAATTTGAGCCAGAACCCTAAACACCCAAAGAAGGCTGTTTAGGCTAGGGTTCCAAGGTGTTTTGAACCATAGAGAGGCTTTTACTTTAGTCAGAGTACTTTAAGGGGGCTTCTTGCGTGCTCATGGGCTTCGGAGCTCCCGCTGTTGAGCGCAAATGGGTTCTTCTGCTCTCCGTCGGGGGATTGATGGCTGATTGCTTTTGGGTCGAAGTGCCAGTTGATGTGCCGGCTGTAGCTTGGCGTTTCACATTGAGGTTAGTTTGGGGCTGCTCTACTTTGGCATCCCAAGCCTGGGCGTTTGGGTAAGCGTTCCTCAGTCCGACCGCCAGTTTCCGAAGGAGCATTGTCATTGTTGAGCCGGGCGAGACACAGCCAGGGCCCTGACGACGTCCGGTCGCACTTCCGGCGGGAGCTGCGGTAAATTACCTCTT